GGCGCCGCTTTGCCGCATGGCAGCCTGGCATCGATCATGGCGTCTTGCTGCACGGTACTTATCTCATTAGACGAGGCATTTCTTTTGTCCCCTTCCCCCTCTTCCTTGGAGATAGGTATTGCCAATTGGTTTCCGGGCGATTAGTTCGAGGGGTAAGAGGTCTTGGATCTAATATAACCCGCTTCAGCCAAGACGCGTTGCCCTGCGGCGCAAATGTGTCTCTCAGACTGGGCGACAATTTTACCGCCGGTTCTTTCATTGAAATGAATCTCACCGTAGTGCCGTAATAACTTGCCTGTTGGTCCGAGACCATTGACGGATACTCGCCGATGTTCTGACCAGGTGCCTTGTTGCTCGGCTCCAATCCAGGGTCTCTCGCGAGGGTGAAATTGGAGACCCCGCCCGGCGACGGTGGACCGCGAGCCTCGGCCTCAAAGCGCTTGGTGCCGCTCCAGCCGCTGTAGGTTTGCAAATTGCAAAGCAAGCAGCCGGCCAAAGGCCGACGGCCTTTTGGCGGTGACGAACGGTTGTTCGAGTGCTTGAATTATATCCGTACGTCGCCCAGCTGAGGGATGTAAGACGTATTCCTTTTCGCTCTGTGGGGGGGGGTCGTTCCTGCATTGGTACTCGGGAGTCTGCAGGGGAAGAAAAAGGCAGAGACGGTGGGGTTATATTGGAAGGATTTTGGATAAGGCCTGCCTGTCCTGCACGTGTAGGATCATGTCTGCTGGGTAGCGACTCGGTTTAATCTCCAATTGTCTCGGCCGGATGGATTTTGGGTAGGGATCCAGCCAACGGGAGTGGAGACGTCCGAGGGTCGAAGGATTCAGCCGTCGAGGGAAGGGAGTTCGGTTTCGGTTGGCTCCGGACGCAGAACCTGAACGCCGTGGTGTTCCGGAGGAGCGTTTCGGAGGTATCCCGCTGAATGGACCGGTGCCTCGGAAGAGATTGACGGCGTGGTGGGTACCGAGGTTGCCGGGTCCGCCCGTGTGCGTTCGGAGAGGGTGTGCTCGGGAAGTTAATGCAGGTACGGCGCATGATGATGTCGGACGGCTTTTTCGGTGGCAAATTCCAGGATGGGATTTTTTTTCTTCTCCCTCGGTAGCTGCCGATCAGCTTCTTGCGGTATTGATAGTGCAACACCTAGCTTGGTGTCACTGTTGTTGATCTTGGGCCGGCGTGCCATACTGACGGGCAGAATGGCATTCGGGGTAGATGTTTTGACGCTCTTGACATCTGCGCCGGCGTTCGAGTGGCCGGCGTAGACAACTACCGTTGGGTACTGCCGAGCCGGTGGTACGATTCGGCGGAACCGCGGCGGTCGACCGAACTGCATGCAAGACACACCGACAACGGACGCGAGGTCCGGAAATGCGAAGTCGAGATCTCGGGAGAGCGAGGTTCCGTGATGTGGTCCCCGATGCGAATGGCGATGCGGGATCTGGTGCTCGGAGCTTAGGTCTGCGTCGTCGTTTGCGCGAGCAATCCCTTATTGACGCCCGGCGACTGGATGGACGGTCACATCCCGGCCAGCGGCAGCGGCGGAAGTGAAGTGGCCTGCCTGCCATGCTTGAAACTGGGTATTCCACATTTTTTTCGATGTGAGTTGTCGTCGACGAGATATCTCCGTTCGATTGTTCCCGGTCCTGTCCCCGGCCACCGAGAAAAAGGTATCGTAAGATTCGGTGAGCAAAACTGACTCGAACCCAGACTGGGTTCACCGTGAACTTCTTAAGTGAGATCTTCATCTGACTGACGTCTGCTTGTGGAGTTGGCATTCCTGAGATCTGAACCTTAAAAAAAACAAAGAGGAAAAAGGCTTGTTGATGGAATGTTGCCGCGACGCGGAAGGGAACGGGAGACGCCGAAGTGGATGACGTGCTGCTGGTGGCCCCCTGCACGGCAAAGCTTTCGCCAGAGGAAGGAGCCCACATTAAAAGCACGTTTTTCTTTCTAGAAGCTTGTCGCTTGTCGGGAGCAAAAAAATTCCCAGCAAAATGCCAGCGCCAACATCCATGGACATTGGACATTGGACAGCCAACGCAGCACCGCGGACGAATCCCGCTGTTTCAACGGCCACGGAACAGCCCGCAGTTGACGTAAGAACGCAGAGCAGCAGAGAGCCTCATGAAGCAAAACTTTGGAAAGATACGCCAGAGACCGAAAGACAAATTTTCCAATACGGTGGATACCGAGGTTCATCCGCCCTCTCTTTGACTGACACATGGAAGAGCTCAGAGAACGACGCAGAATGTCGGTCCCCTTCTTCTGAGTCTCAAACACCTAGCAAACTCCATCTCAGCTCCCTGCTGTTTTCTCTCTCCCTCCCGCCCCTCAGTTGGCGGTGTGAATGGTGAAGCCGTCCAAGTGCCGGAGAATACTGGAGTCGATGACATCAAAACATCGTGATCCGCTCGGGACTGGCGGCCAAGAGGATCCTGGATCTTCCATCTCTTATCGCCTACGCGCTTCAGCCCATCTTCGGACGGCCAACCAAACAGCCTGGGGCCTAGCCCACGTTCGCCTCATGCATCCCTGAATCGTCGGAATGTCCAACGCCGTCTGAAAGAGCGAGGACGCCGCAACAGCCAACCCCTTACCCATCACAAAGACTCTTGACAAGATTTCTAATCCAAGATAACCACCCATCGCAAGGGCCCACAGACCTCGGCCCGGCGAATTAAGACGGCCCATCTTGACCTTCTTCGACCTTCTCTGGAAAAGTTCCGCTGTTTCCAAACCGCCCTGCTCCTTGCCGGAGGGGCAACCACCGACGGCGGACGGGTAGGTATCCCTCATGATCCCTTCCTCACCTCGCGATCTGAGCCGCGGCATCTAGCCGCACTCTTGGTGCCATCTTGTTCCCAGTTCGTTCCCGCTGTTCGACCCCACCTTGGTTGCAGTTTTTTTCATTCCGTCCCAGTCTGCGTGTATCTTGCGCGGATTCTTTCGTCCCAAGTCGTGGTTTCTTGGACGACGGGCCACTCGCCGGCGTTAATGCCTCTTCGCCGATGGCCTTTAGGACTTAACATTGTTTTCGGGATGGGTCTCTCGAGGCTTTTAAAAGAGCTGCGTTGCTCCTCCTCTTCGGGCTGGTTGTTGTTTGTATAGACACTCATCTTATACCACTCACCCTTCTTCTTCATTCTGATACCCTATTCCTCTTCCATACCTACAAAACAACACATAATCACAATGGCTGCTACCGACTACAAGTTCGAGGGCTGGGTTGGCCTGGACGAGAAGTCCAGCGAGGGCAACATGGTCTGGCAGGAGTACGAGCCCAAGCCTTGGGAGGAGAACGACGTCGACATCCAGATCACCCACTCCGGTGTCTGCGGCTCTGACATCCATGTCCTGCGCTCCGGCTGGGTAAGTTCACCATCTCACTTACACGCCCTTCACACGGCATTATGCTAACAAGATACACCAGGGCCCCGCTCCCTACCCCGTCTGCGTCGGCCACGAGATCGTCGGTGTCGCCGTCCGCGTCGGCTCCAAGGCCGTCGGCAACATCAAGGTCGGTGACCGCGTCGGTGTCGGCGCCCAGTCCGACTCCTGCCTCGGCCGCCAGGGCGACTGCGAGCCCTGCTCCACCAAGAACGAGCAGTACTGCCCCAAGTCCGTCCACACCTACGGCGCCTTCCACTACAACGGCGGCAAGGCCATGGGTGGCCACGCCAAGTACCACCGCTGCCCCTCCCACTTCGTCGTCAAGATCCCCGACGGCCTCGAGTCCGCCTACGCCGCCCCCATGCTGTGCGGTGGTGTCACCGTCTTCTCCCCGCTCAAGAACCACGGCTGCGGCCCCGGCAAGACCGTCGCCGTCAGCGGTGTCGGTGGTCTCGGCCACATGGCCATCATGCTGGCCAAGGCCATGGGCGCCGACAGAGTCGTCGGTATCTCCCGCAAGGCCGACAAGCGCGACGAGGTCCTGAAGATGGGCGCCGACGACTACATCGCCACCGGAGAGGAGGAGGACTGGGCCAAGAAGTACGCCAACACCTTCGACATCGTCATCTCCACCGTCTCCTCCGCCAAGGTCCCCATGCAGGACTTCCTCAACCTCGTCAAGCTCGACGGTTCCCTCGTCCAGGTCGGTCTCCCCGATGACGGTGCCTACACCATCTCTCCCGTCCCCATGGTCATGCGCCGCGTCAAGTTCACCGGCTCCCTGATCGGCTCTCCCCACGAGATCCGCGAGATGTGGGAGCTCGCCGCCAAGAAGGACGTCAAGCCCTGGATCCAGGTCCGCCCCATGAGCGAGGCCAACCAGGCCATCGTCGACCTCGAGGAGGGCAAGGCCCGCTACCGCTACGTCCTCCAGAACTAAGCTGGGGGATTACGACTTTTACGGCGTGATTCCATTGGGTGTATATAAGACGAGGTTGATGACATGAACTACTTGGGTGCATAGAAAGGGCATAGCGAATTGGTTACATTATAGACGCATAGAGAGATAGAAACAATCTCAACTCGCGGGGCGAAATGCTCCAGTATGAACATACTAAACTCTCAATGCAAATGTGTTGTCGGTGTGATGTCACGGCTCGGTGAGGAGTCACTGTCCGATGGCATGTGGGGTATCGATTCTGATTCGCGGCAACATCCCCCACTGGAACTTCTCATCTTCACCTCACTTACACGACCCCGACTAGCACGAGAGCTGATTGATTAACGAAAGGGACAACAGACGAACCCCTTTGCTGTTAGATCCGTCAGTCTTGATACCAATCGTTTCTTTCGTACAGCTGCAGTTCAGCACTGTTGCCTGGCAGGCACACCAGCATACCTCGTCGCCTAATGGCGGAACGTCCGCTGTGCCGCCTCGACTGACCAAGTTTCATAATGAACTCTGCAAGGCATAGCATACCAAAACTTATTCGATTCAATAATTTGACCAACTTCCCTTCAATCTGTACGACCGCCTCTATCTCTCCAAGCACCTTCACACCCACGCTTACACTCATCCAGCGCCCCGCCCGATTCACATCTCAGCCATGCCCAAGGCAAAGCACAACGACGTGGCCGAGTTCCACAAGGCCCTCAAGTCAAGCAAACGCATTCTCGCCCTCTGCGGCGCCGGTCTGTCGGCCTCTTCCGGCCTGCCCACCTTCCGCGGCGCCGGCGGGCTCTGGCGGAACCACGAGGCCACATCGCTGGCCACGATGAGCGCCTTCCGCAACGACCCCGGACTGGTGTGGCTGTTCTACGCGTACCGGAGGCACATGGCGCTCACGGTGAAGCCGAACCCTGCGCATTACGCGCTGGCTGCTCTGGCGGATAAGAACCCGGACTTTTTGTGCTTGACGCAGAACGTTGATGGTGAGTAGGGCTGAAGGACTTCACGTGATTCGTCTCGGCGGAGATGATGGAAAACAAGAATGCCAAAGACTGCGAATAGATATCACGGGCCCAGGCTAACGACAGACAGACCTCTCCCCGCGGGCCGGCCACAACGAAGCACAACTCCGCCGCCTCCACGGCACCCTCTTCGACATCAAGTGCGCCGACTGCGACTACGTCGAGCACAACAACACCGCCGACCCCCTCTGCCCGGCCCTGGCCCCGGCCTCCGAAGACGTCAAGAACGCCAACCAGACCCTCCCCCTCCTCGACCCCAGGAAGAAGCTCGCCGCCATCGACGCGAAGGACCTCCCGCACTGCCCCTCCTGCGAGACGGGCCTCCTGCGGCCGGGAGTCGTGTGGTTCGGCGAGTCCCTCGACGGGGCGATGCTGGACGGCGTGGACGCCTGGATCGAGGAGGGGAAGGTCGATCTGATGCTTGTGATTGGGACGTCGGCGCAGGTGTGGCCTGCCGCTGGGTATATCCTCAAGGCGCACAAGGCCGGGGCGAGGGTGTGTGCTGTGAATCCGGAGGCGGAGGATAGGGAGCAGCTGAAGAAGGTGAAGCGCGGGGATTTCGCGTTTGGGAGGGATGCGGCGGAGGTGCTGCCGCTTTTGTTAGAGCCTGTTATTGGCAAGGTGGAGGAGAATGTGCGGCCTGCTTGAGCTGGAGTGGAAAGCGTGTTGTCGGGGATATTGAAGGGAAGATTTAAGGCGGGATAGATCGAAGACATAACGTGTCACGCTTGACTGGATGTCATCCTAGGCATCTCTTTGCTCAGTCATCTGGGTTGCTGTGAAATACAGCGAATGAAACGCACGGAATCAAGGGCTATTATTACCTTATAAGAATAGTGAGACCAGAGTCGGGTGAATTGTGAGCTTCAGAGCATACGGCGACAGTCTATACATATAACAAATGAGACATTACTTGACTTGAGAGGAGCTGCTTACTCACTTGGATTCAGTCGGAAGTAAAGACTGCTCCAGCTTTGGATCTGATCGTCAGGTGCACTTACAGGTAAGGCAAGGCAAAGGTCCGCGGTCATGTTGAGATCCCGCCGCGCCTCTTGTCACCAGTCCCATGTCTGCCATCACAGCTTCCTTGTAAGCTTAAGCAACCATTTCAGGCTGCCGTTCTTGACGACGGGACGACGCCTCATCGATGCTGGTGTTCGTCTAAAATACCCTGCGCTCAGGAAGGATAATGATAAGTTGATATCACATTCCTCTCCTATTACAAGCATGAGTGAATGAGATCTGTGTCACGAACAAAACGATACACTTCCGTGATGCTCATACTGCCCTCAACCTCTTATCACATGCCCTCTCAAACTTTCGAACCATTTCTCAGGACTTGAATACGAATGATGCAGCTGTGAATGCTTAACTGCCTGGCCTGAGGAAAGCGAAAGAGAGACAGTCCTCTCTCCGGCGGGAGCAAGTCTCACATACATATCGCCCAGTATCATCTAAAACGTGCGCTAAGAGATGCATATGAAGAACAAACAAACAAGCTCTTATTTCTTCCGTGTTGGAGGTGCGTTATCTCTAAGCGGGATGTGAAAGAGTAGTACTCTGCGAATCACCGGCGAGCTCAGAATGTCATCGCGCGTAGATTGGCATGGGCAAGAGTATTCGATGCAGCAAGCTTGACGTAGATTTCGTTCCCACACGAATCTTATTTATGTGTATTCATCGATGATGAATGCTCACGGAGGCACCCTGCTTCATCACACAAAGTGACGATGAAGCTATATTTGGGCATGGACGTAAAAGGGTCACATCAACATCACTCAACAGACTCACCAGCAATCACACAAGAGAAAAACGATCACGGCAGGTAGGAAACATTCACCTCCGTAGGCCACATATATTCCCTCGGCCGCTTTGTCGTCGGAACGCCTGTCACATGATCACTCACTTCACACTCACTCAACGCACCCATCTCACCTTTCTCCACCAACATCGCCAACCATCAAAACGAGAACTCACTCCACCACACGACGGAGGAAAAGAACACGATATTCGCGATAGCCGCCTCCTCGCCCGACGCAAGCGGCCCGAATCGCCTCAATCCCAATGTTCTCGAACCCGCTCCTGCAGTTCTCCCCCCTCCCCACCCGGGCAAGCATCGCAGACACAGGTCCTCATCGCCCGCAGCAGCAGCGACGGTAGTGAGATGACAACGCAGAACGAGACGTAACAACAACAACAACAACGAATAACGGACAACCGCCTCGTTCGGTGAAAATGGGACCTCGTCGGCGTGGTCCACCGCGCTCGGTTCGCGACGCTTAGGAGCGGGTGGGTTTGACCACGGCTGAACGGCAGAAAGGAGGAGGAGGAGGAGGAGGAGGAGGAGAACGACAAGGAGGAGCATCGAGATTCGACAACAACACCAGAACCAAGTGTTGGTAATAGACCACCACGACGACGACGAGTGAGCGACCTGCCTCGGCGAACCGAGGAAACCTCACCGCCTACGAATCCGCGGCGTCAGCGGCTCGCGGGAGACCCAACTGGGCTTCTCTCTCTCTCTCCCTCCCTGAGTGAATTTCCATTCCAGACTTCTTCTCACGTCGTTGCGCCGGCCCGGCGTAAATAAAACCGCATTCCCGCCGGCCGGGAAACGCACGCTTGTTATCGGTCTCCAGAGGCTCCTCACGACACACCTCTTTTTCCCATAAATCTCACCATGGTCTCCCCATCCCGGTATTTCCCTTACGTGAGATTTTCGGAAAATGTCGCGTCAATCCCGCCATCTCTGCCAGTGTCTGTCCTGTCCTCCACACACACGCACACGACAGCCCGGCCAACACGGCAGGCAAAAATGGTGGTTGGTTGTCGGGGTTCCCCGCCAAGTCGTTGTTCATTTCGAAGCCCAAGTCCGCAATTTTATGGTGGCCCGGCTCCGAAGTCGCTGTGAGCGGCGGCGTGTGGGCCGGTTGGGAAGGGTGTTCGGCCATTTTGCTCCCTCCTCTCCTCGATTCATGGACTTCTTTTCCCATCGAGTTATCTCCGCGGGAACCACAAAAGTCCTTCTGTGGTCCCTTGTCACATTGCGTATACCCACACACTCGAACACGTTACACGTCCCCTCCTAAACTTTCCCATTCCCAAAGCCCGTTATTGGGGCCTCTCAAGCGCCAAAGAAGCCGGGATCCAGACGTCGTCACGGGCGCGGCGTCTGGACCCCGCTGTCCGGACCCGCCCCGGCGGACAGTGTTGGGAGCGGCGAGGTGGGCGTGAGCGTCGTGACGAGACCTTCGCGCCGGCTTCCAGATCTGACGTGGTTGTGTACCGACGACGGGTTCCGGGGCCGCGGTGCCGGGACGGCGTTGAGGCGTGCCGTGGGCAAGGATGCGAGCGCGGAGGTCTGCCTGAGTCCTCGGAGGGAATACAACGGATGCAGTGCCGCTTTGCGAGAAACTTGGGGTCGCAATGGTCAGAAGGTTCAGGATGGCGACTGCCGCGAGAGATGGAAGTGATATAAGGAGGTTTGTATGCTCTTGGGATGAATCCCAGGCTCGAAAGCTGGACAAGAACTGCTGAAGACTGTGAGTATCAACAACAGCTTCTTGAAAGTTAGCTACTATCTTTGATTGACAGGCATGAGAGCATATCACGGCTTCTCATCCGGTATGCGTCTGGTGAAGTGACGACGATCTGTCGGTATCCGGGAGAGCTTCCGGAGGCATTCCGGCTGCCCAGATGTTCCTCTGCCGAGATGATCGGTTGTTTGCACGGGCATTAAGAATTGTAGGTCCTGGCAGCGCCGAGCCCCAAGCAGTTGATCGGATCAACCACAGTCGTCGCCCCTCCTCCATCGCCACATATTGAATCTCATGACCTACGATGATCAGCAGTTGACATACTCGAGGATGACACCACCTCTGCGACACGTATCCGCAAGACACTCATCGTAGAGGCTCTCACCCGTCCTACCAGAGAGGCCTCTGGTCAGGAAAAGTGAACGTCGGTCAAGACTGCCTAGGCGCCTTCAGCAATCCGTGACCAATCACATTTCCTAAGATCAACAAACGCGCATGTGGTGTCGAACGCTGTCGTTCACCGGTTCGGGTTGGCATTAGCGTTTTGTTGCCATGATCCAGATTGAAGTAGAGTAGCAACGACCCTGAATCTGCCTGAATCGCAGACGAACATCGCACGTCGGGCGGGGACCTCGACCGGGATTCATCTTGCTCTGTCAAGAGTCCATCGTTTCCCAAAACGTCGGCGTTGGCCGTGCCCACAACGGAGCTGGGCGGACGCGTTGCGTATGGCAATTCTAGCCCGGAACTTTAGGGATATCCTCGGGGGATTGAAGTAATGTGATCTCATTAAGGTATCCCAAAGCCCGATGTTGAGAATGGGCACTTTCTGCTAAGATCACGGCTTTTCGCGCAACGAAGTCGCTGACAAGGACCAGCCTTCGGGCAGCAACGCGCCGCTGGACGAGTGTTTGGAGTCTCCGGCGGTGAGTGACAGAATAAGGGTCTAGGTGTGATTGAAGCGGCACTGCCGAAGGCACAAGCAGAAGTTGCGGAATTGTAACCCATTTAACGGCAATTCACATGAATGGACTCGTCCCGCCTCTGCGAGTGGTACTTTTTTTTTTTTTTTCCGTCGGCATCGGACCGAGAAAAGAGAGGACCGGGTAAATCTTCACCGGGCGGGAGCTGCCGTTTGGAAGAATCCAGGCAAATGGCGAACCGATGTCCAACTCGGCAAGCACAGGCGCAGTTCTGTTCGGCCGACGGCCCCCGGAACGCCAACGATAGAGCCGCCGGGCGGACATCGTGAGCCTAGCGGAGCTGAGAGTGGCAATGACGTAACAGCCGAATTAGGCATGTTGACATTGACGAGGCTCAACCCTGGTCTGGAGGGTGCTGGGTTAGGGGGTCGACATGTGTGTGATTAGTTCGCGATGCGGCACGACACATGGAACCTAACAGATGGAACCTAAAGATGCCCCCCACGATGGAAGTGTCTTTGGAGAAGGATCGTGGCTTGCGGATTGTTGAGGAGAGGCGGTCGGGAGACGCGAGATGCAGGGATTGTGGGGGTCTCCCGCAGGGTACCGTGTGGTGGGATGCCATGCTATTTCCATGTGAGTTTCGAAAGGCGTTGAGATGATTAGTTGAAGTGAACGTGAGAATATTGAGCACGAGACTCCTAGGACATCTTCGGCAGGTAAACTGTTGTGACAGTTGGCAGGTGAGATGCATGTTATGCTGTGTGACGTATAGAAGAGACGAGGAGGTTGGAAAGGAAGCCGTTTGGTCGGAGAGGTGGCAGGATAGACGTTTGGTGTGGATAGGCCAAGATTGACGAGGGTGAAATGATGAGGGTTTTTTCGCGGCATTGGTCAGAAGCTCGAAGCAGCGACAGTGCCGGACGTGTGTGATGCCGATGGAGAGCAAAAACCGATAATAATGGAAAAAGAAGATTAGCATGATTAGGAAGAATTGAAGTGTGTAGAGCAGAGAAACACGGCCGATGATTCGCAGAAGACCACCTAGACGTGGACGTGGTGGATGCCCCGCAACCCCGCGTTACCAGGAGCTGAGGCCGGTCCACCACACTCAGATCTCTCATCTGGCTTTGGACTTTGGAGCCTGAGGGTTGTGGTTGTGGTGGTGGTGAATTCTGACTTGACGCCGATTCGGGGCCGGCCGGACGTTTGACTGACGTTTAACGCCTCAGGGACTGGCCAGGTCCCCTGCGTGTTCGGGCGCAATCGGGACGAGTCCGAGTGTCGAGTATCGAATGGATTGCGGTTTGTCGTTTGAATCTTGTAAGTGTGAGCAAGCATCACGTCGATGTCGGTGTCTGGCCCAGCTCCAGCGGCAAGGAGATGGGGTCGACTGCGACTGCGACTGCGACTGATGAAAGGAGAAAAGGAAGGTGACAAGACGGGGGTAAAAAGACCCTGCGGCGGAAGGTGCAACGGCAGGAATTCTGGCAGTTGACGCTGAATATCAAGAATTCGCGGCCTTCATCCGACCATCCACGGTGTCGCGGTTGTTGATCTCGTCGATGATGATGGAACTTGTATGTAATCGAAATGGTACTTGGTGATTGAAGCGCCCAGCGCGTATACCTTTTCCGGCGCAGTCGGTAAAGAAAGTCGGTGGTTGAAGCGCATATCTTAGCAGGACCTGGATGATGGGCCGGTCATGGTCACGGTCATGGTCATGGGTGAGGGATGATGATGTTGTTGGCGGTCGGTGATGGTGGTGGTGTCCCATCTTGGATGCTGCGTTGCAGGTTTATCCCTCCCAGCTTGCGGGCCTTACTTCCGCATCATGTCGGGCTGCATGCGACTGATTTCCTCTCTGCGGTCAGAGTCACGGACGAGACCCGTTGTGGATGATGGGATGTCCTGTATGTCGGTGTTAGTTTGTGCGACTGCGCGCAGATGCAGGACTTCAGATGCATGTCGCTGCTGTGAATCTGCGAGAATACCTTACGCAGTATCGAAATAAAAGATAAAAAGTCAAGGGCCAAAAGTTGGAGGTCGCGAGTGCTGACTCGGCAGTATTCAACTATTACGTTATCACCGTTGTGGCGCTAGTCCCGATGAGGCTACCTCCGGGTTTTTCATAAGGTAATGGGAGCCACTTCGCTAAAGGGTACGGGGGACTTTCCGCAGGCCGTACCGCTGTACCGCTGTACCGCTGTACGAGTGCGCTACAAGCGCCTGAAGTGGCACAGAGTCGCAATCGAGGTGCAGAAAGAGCGCTGGAATCCGGTGGGGCCATGTTCCGCCCGAGTACCGCCGACTCGGATCTTGCAGCGCCGGGGCACAAACCCGTGAGTAACACTTTTCCTGCCTTTTCTTTCGTCTGCAGTGCAAAGTACTTACAAGCAGTCAAATATATGAGACGTGAATGGCCCGAATCCCATTATGTATTTCTGTCTCGTAGCATCTTTCCGCCAACGCCGTCCCGGGAATGGACAGAGATAAGGCCGCGCCCATCACTGGCCCATGTTCCATGTCTCGTGCTTTATCTTTCCTCCCCCCCTCCCAATTCCCAATTGCCATGTGCTTTTGTGGAGATTCTCAGCCTGTCGTGGTTCCGACACTCGAGACTTGAGTCTTGACTTTGGTTCTCATCGGAGAATCGTCGACTACGGATGTCCTATTCATCACTCTGGTTGGCTATTCACCGCACCCCGGAACGCAACGAAAACGGCCCTGTCTGCCTCTTTTAGCCTCGCGCCTGGAGACACTTCTCTTGTGCGACGTAATGATAATCGCTATCATCTGCCGCTCGAGTTAGATCTGGACATGCACGACTAACACCCTTTAACCCGCACACGCACCCTGGGAAGAGCCGCTCGGCATAGCCCTCGTGGTAACTATCCTATTGTCTATCCTTTTCTATTACCACATGTTCTTGTCTTTCCCACCGCCGTATCGACGCCGCTTGTCGTTCGATTCCTCAAAGTCAAAAGGTAATTCTTTTGTCTGCCATTGGACCACTCCGGCAGCCAAGTTGGACACCGGCTCCGTCACAATGTTTGGTGAAGGATAGCCCGGCATGCCCCTTCTCTTTCCCGTTACTTCCATTCCCAACTGCCTTGCTTTACGGATACTAGTACACTACATCTCTAGTTCATCTGTGGCATTGTCACCGACACGCCCGTTGGCGGCGTTTAATGTCCTGTTTTCTTTCCTTGTCTTTGCTTTCTAGACTTTGATGCCAAGCCATGCCTGCACCGCCTACCGCTACCGCTCATTCCCTGCCTTCCATGTCACTCTTCTTTCTTGATGGTGGTTGACTTGACGGGGTCGGTGAGGGCGAGATGGACAGAAGCGTGAGGCCATGCTCCGTCCCATCCCATCCTATCCCGTCCCATCTCATTCGACATGTCCCTTGCCCATGCCTGCCATGCCTTGCCTTGCCTTGCCCCATCCCCATTCTGATCCCCATACCCCATCAGACCAAGGTTTGGGACTTTCACTTCTTTGGTTCTCAGTCGGTTCATCATGCCCGGCGAGCCCAACTCTGCGCCCGTCGGCCAGTCATTTGCTTCCTCACCTCCTCTTCCAATACGCCGACTTGAATCTCTAAATCCACCAAGACGAGACGTGCCACCCTGAGCAAAGTGGTCAGGGTTCTTAGAAGCACTTTATTTCTGGCCTGCTTCACCTTTGGCTGCTGCTGCTACCATCCAGTATCTACCGCTCCTGCATGTAGCCCGCCGGCGGTCTGACTCTCCTGCTTGACATCCCCTATCCATCACCGATCCTGCTTGTGCTCCATCCAGGGCAGATCCCGTCGTGTCAAGTGTCGTCTGTTGCGCATACGCAGCATAGAGAAAAAATAAGTCTCCAGATTCTCAGAGGCGACGCCGACGCAACAATCGATCGAGGAGGGGCAGCCGCAAGGGGAACCCGTAAAGCTTTCACCATATCCGCAATTCACTCCCGGACGGTATTCTGCTGTGGTTGGTCTGGCTGGTGTTCTGGGTACCTTACCTGAACAGAGAGCGAGCATCCATCTCCCTCTCTGACTCTCTCTTACCTTATCGTTTTCTTTCTCCTTGGCCTCTCTTATTTTTCTCCTACTCTCTCTCTCTCTCTCTCTCTCTCTTATCCCCCTCTCTTTTTCACTCTCTCCCTCCTTTTCCCATCCTCCTCCCTCCCTCCATCATTGTTTCTTCCTCTCTTCCATCACCCCCGTTATCTCTCGCCACTATCCCCATAAAATAATATTATTTCCGTCTCCAACAAACGAAGACCAGAAAGAATCGTCCCAGGATTGCCGGTGCGGCACATCCAATAATGGATCCTTGAATCGACGGAAAACAGAGACATCGCCTCTTACATATACTTTTCCCCCTGGGGACCCAATGACACCGATAAGCCAGGCTTATCTCATCCTTGCCTCCATCGTCACTTGAGTCCACCAAACATCGATCCATCAAATCGCCAACCGTCCAATCCCAGACATCATATTCGGCCCCAAATTCGGCCCTGCATCCGCACCCCCCAAAAAACAAAACCACCACCACATTCCATCACCAAAAACGGGCGCACATCAACCCGTCTCGCCCACTCCCGCTGCGGCGCTTTATCTTTATCTCTGCCGGGTCCCAGGTCTTCCATCCACCAAACCAAGCCTCCAGAGACAAACCGCCCGCCACCCCTCGCTTTCCTGCATCCCACCCCAGATCTGCTACTCTAACAACAGCCGCCAGCAAAAAAGACACACACGGGACATTGCACGCGGACAAGGGGAGTCCAGCTTTCCCGTCTTTACACTACACTAATTGCCATTGCCGCTTATCTCGTACCCTTTCGCCTCGCCCAACACCTCTGGGTTACTTTCTTACCTTACACAACTCTCGCGTGGTCATTTTGTTCCACCGCTCATCTTGGACTTCCTTTAGTCTCTATCTACCTACCCCAGCCCCCGCCGGTCACGTCAAACCTCGCAATCGCACCCGGTCGACGTCCGTCCGCCGCCGTTGTCGCCCAGTTACCTGCACATCTTTCACCACCTTACCTCTCCGCTACCAGGACCCTTATCTCGACCGGCCCCGGCGCGCCGTAGCGTTATCAGACTTTCTCTCCTCTGTCTGACCCGTCAGCCGTCAGCCGTCTGCTGCTTCGTGTTACAACACAGGACAGGCTCACCCACCAGAACTGAGGACGAGGGCAAGGGCAGATCGAATCGGCCGCCGACCAATCTTGTCTGGCGGATCGTGCATATTGTGCTACGTACTTGTTGCTGGCTTCAACTCAACCAAAGAGAACCTGTTGCTTGTCGACATTGGTGGCGGTCCCAAGACCACTCCAAGCAGGAACATTACATCACCTGCATCTCGCCTGCCGCCGCGTCGTGGGGCTCGAGTTGAGGTGCCCAGCTTTCATCCCGGCGAAGCGTGCCAGCCTATTTGCCCATCTGGCATCGAGGAAGCCTATCGTCCTATCACCGTCCTCACATCTCCGGACAACTCTAAGAGTAACAGTAACTCACACACATTTCCCCCCAATCTCCAGACCAAGAGCAGACCAGGGCCGGGGCCCCGTCTTGTCTTGACGAACCGGGTCCGTCCGTCCGTCTTCCTCCCCTGCGTCGGCCCAGCCCTGTCCGTATATACATAGCTTTCTTCTACTGCCACGCCTGCCCATCATGTCCAACCCAAGTGCTGTCACCAGAACGGCTCCTATCGCCATCGCGCCAAAGCCTCCGCGCCGTCAAAACTCTTATCTCCAGGAAAGCTTCACGAACCTGGACCTCTTCCGCGGAAGCATGCCAGGCCGGGAAATCGCCGAGTCCGTCGGCTCCTACACAACACGCTCTCTCAGTCCATGCGAATCGTGTCAACGATCCAGGGTCAAGTGCATTGTCAGCGAAGACGACGATAGCTGCATACCCTGCCAAGCTAGCGGCTCAGACTGCTCCCTGCTCAACAGCCCGCAGCCCAGGAAACGAAAGCTGAACGGAGATTTCGACGACTCGATTGGTAAAAGAAGGTCAGTTTCCCATTTCCCAGTCATACCATTCGCCCGATTCCCATTCCTTCCATGCTTCCCTCCTTCCTCCCCTCTTCCTGTTCCCCTACCTTACGTATCGTACAAAGGCATTCCCTCCTCCCCGCCGGCTTGGGTTACCTCACCTTCGCACCCCCTTGTCATTCCCATCTGTTTTGCGCCCGTTCAATGTTTCTTGGTGCAATGGGGGCGCGCCGCGACCAAGGGGGCACGTCTGATAACGAACCTTAATCTCTGACACGTGATTGGTCCAATAGCTCTCCCATCAGGACCGATATCAGAAGACGAAGGCAACACCAATCCAGCCTCTCCAGCACCACAGGGAGCAGCTCCTTCATTGAAGACATGGCGAATGTCGGAGGCCCGACTCTGCTGAAGCGGACGCTGGGTCTCCAAAGTGACCGCTTCAGTCAGTACATCGGCCCGACCACCGACTTCGAGCCTTCTCTCATCAACCTCTCACCCTTTGATCCCCAAGATGAGAGTCTTCTGGCGCGTGGCACCCTCCGCAAGGTCAGCGATGACGACACCTTCCTGCTACTACCGGACTTCAACACCCCGGGCCATGAGCACATCCTCGAAGATGTCGAGGAAATCGAGAACCTCGTACGGCCGCATGGCCGCAAACTGGTAGACCTCTACTTCCGCATCGTCCATCCGGCCTTTCCGATCATCCAAAAAACCGTCTTTCTCGAAAAATACGACCGCAGCTACCGCGAGTTTTCTCCTTGTTTACTGGCTGCTGTCTACCTGTTTGCCATCAACTGGTGGGAGCATGATGAAGAGCTCGCGCGACTGCCCCGACCGAACATCTCCAACCTGGAGCGGCTAATCCGGACAACTCTCGCCGACGCCATGTACAGACCGAAGCTTTCCACCATCCAGGCCGGCCTCCTTCTTTCCCAGCGACCCGAGGGCGACCAGTGGGCTCCGACTGCTCAGCTTGTTGCCATCGCCCAGGAGCTCGGCCTGCACCTCGACTGCACCAACTGGAAGATACCGCCCTGGGAGAAGGGGCTGCGGAAACGTCTCGCGTGGGCTTTGTACATGCAGGATAAATGGGGCTCTCTCGTTCACGGCCGGCCATCGCATATCTTCTCATCCAACTGGGGAGTGCAGCCGCTGACGCAACACGACTTCCCCGATGTCGAGTGGGACGAGAACGATGTAGAGGAGAAGCTGGAGATCGAACGCGGACGTACCTTGTTCGGGCAGATGGTGCAGCTTACGCAGATTCTCGCCGAGATTCTCGACACCTTTTACACATTACAAGCCCAGCAGACCGTCACCAACGCCGGTGGACAAGGCACCCACCTTGTTCTTTCGATGGCGAAGCCTATCCAGCTGAAGCTGAAAGAGTGGTACGCCAGCTTGCCCGCAGCGATCCGTATGGATAACTCCTACTCGGCCAACACTGTCCCTTCGACCCGTCTGTCTAGCATCGGCTACCTCCACCTCGGCTACTTCGCCACCGAGATCACCCTCCACCGTCGCATCATTCGCTCCCTGGAGGCCACCGGCTCGGCCGTCGATTCCTACGTCCAGCACATCTGCCGCAGCGCCGCCAAGGCCAGACTGATCTCCGCTATGGATTTCGTCAACCGCCTGAACTCTTCCCACCTGCGCTCGTTCTGGTACTTCGCCTCCAAGACCAACTTCGCCCTCATCGGAACTTTCGGCTCCCTCCTTTGGGCGACATCTCCAGGCAGGGAAGAGGCCGACTGGTACCGCCGCCGCTTGGGCGAATATCGATGGACTCTCTCCGTGAGCTCGAAGCCGGGCGAAGGCAAGGGTCTAACCAACTTCGCCATGACCATGCTCGACATCTCCACAGGTCTTCTCAAGAAGCTTCCCGAGAAGCCGTCGATGAGCCGCAGCGGCAGCGTCGTGGATATGGGGCCTGGAGGTTTCAGCAGCAGCTTCGGAAGCAACGGGCTCCTGGCCCTCGGCCAGAGCGCGCCGCCGACCATCAGCCTGGGAAGCTTCAGCGGGCTGCCCAGCGCCGACGTGAGCAACGCCCAGAGCCCCCGGAGCCCCAGCGCGGACAGCAGCGACGACGAGATGTACGAGACCTTTGCGCCGACGGCGGGCATGGCGAGTATGGCCGATTGACGATTACAGCAGCTCCGGATAATGCAGCTGCGTTCGGAGCTGCAAGTCGGAGTATAATAACAACATGAAGATATGAAACGCTCGCTTGAGCAGGGAAGAGGGACGATGAAGACAACAGCCTTTGGCTGTTCTCACCAAGATGGAGGACTATTTGCTATTTGGGTAAAAAGGGGAAGTGCATAATGATCTGCGGGATACCACTGAGGGGGATACGTGGGCGGTCGACGATCGAGGAACGAGGAAAACGAACGACTGGAGAAGAAGAAGGGAAGATGTCGTCCGCCGTCCACGTCCTCTCCCCCAATCTTGATGACATTTGGACCGTCTTGTTTGGACTTTATTTTTTGGAATTGGATCGACGACGCAACGGGAACGAAACGCTGTCAGCGGTGTCGGCGCAATCCTCGGGGGATTTACACCGTCCGTCCGTCATTTTTGAGCGGCATCTTTTTGTTTTTCTGGATGTTGAGCGATTCATATACTTTAGCATAGATTGAGATTTCTTGGACGTGGAAATGATATACCTTGATGTCTTGCTGATGGTTACACATACCTCCCTACCTTGATGGTCTCCGATGCTTTGTTGAAGTGTGCTGAGGCTCCGTATATATAAGGTACCTTATGTTGAGGAGTAGCGGGAGATATTGGCGTGCATGCGTGTTGACCAAGAGAGACGCGCTGTTGGCAGACTGGTTTCTTGCGTCGCTGTAAAGCGCGCTGTTGAGGTGGGCAAGTCTGGCGGGAGACGGCGTGGCGTGTGGCTGGCTGTAAACGGCCTGCATAGTCAACCCACGGCGTCCGCGTCTCTCCTTGTCGTTTCTGGGAGATACAGCCCTGCATAATCGAAACCTCCTGGAGTTATGTGTGGCAGTTGGTTTCCTATGAATATGGCGGTAGGGGATGTACACCCTCGCCTCCGCCGAGATGACTGCACATGTTCGGGGCCGAGACCTGCAATGCATGTTGGGACCAATGTCGCAAAGCACGTTGTCTGCTCCTAACCCCGGATCGTGACTGGCGAATCGACATTTATACCACAAGCTGAGTCTTGTGGGGTTATCGTTTGACCTCTGAATCTGTCTGTTCAGCTTGCTCCGCGTTTCCGCGGCTTGAACGACCGCCGTGATCCAAACTCTGTTCTCCTCGGCGGAGCTCAGCGAGTTTAAAGGGACCGTCCTTCCGCATGAGCCCGCTGTGAACAGGTCACACAATAGAGGTCCCGAAACCCTCTCTAGCTTTGCCACAGTGCCTGGGAGATATCGTGGAGTATGGCTGCTTTCGCGTGATTGTTGGGCTCCCTTTCGAGTTGGTTCTGCGCTGGTGAGTGGATGAAATGTTCGACGGCGTCGACTATCCTCCCTCCTCCTCGTCCTTGGGAGATACGGGCCTGGATAAGTCGATGGTTTGATGAGGGTGGCGTTAGAGATATGATCGACGTCGGCGGGCTCCTGGGTGCTTCGTTTCCCTTCGTGGACGGAAGACTGTGCAGTATGACGTTGCCACGGGTGAGCCTATCAAAAACAGTGGCCTTCGACCTTTCGTCATGGTTTTGGAGCCAAGACGTGGTAAAGGGGACAATGATAGTCTTTTTAAAGGCGCTGAAGCCCAGATGTCCCATCATCGTCGCCGTTCGTCCGGCTCGCAGCTAAAGCAACCTTGACAGGGTTGAATCAGACGAAGACCGAGAAGCAAAGCAAACGACATGGGCTGATATATCTCTCCTCGTACCAACATGGTCTGGTGATGAGCGGGGAGGTTGTTCTGCAGCTGGACATCTGGTTGTCGATGCGTTTTGAAGTCGACAGGGCCACGGAATCTCGGCTGAAACCTATATCAGAGAGTCTCGGACGAATTGAAAGATTCGCAAGTGGCAGGCAGTTTGTTCCGAAAACTCAGTGTCCGAGGTCGAGCAGAGGGGCACATCGAAGGCTGGTTCGGAACCAACCCGCGCCTTGTGGGAGCTGATGACTGTGTCTGACCGGGACACGTAAGGGTCGTCACCACAACCCAGCTTTCTCGCCTCTTATTGCTGATGTTGTAATACGCTGAAGACGGCAGAGCTGTAGGATGTCGGGGAACGACCGGGTTGATGTCGGGTCATGGCCGTCGCTAGAGGAAGGGTCTCAGCCGATGACCCTAGGTAGCTTTGGCAGCCTCCCACAGATCCCTCGGAGCTCACGACGTATCTGCAGAAGAAGTGGATGAGTTCTAGAACTTGGATCCCAGACACAGCAGCAACCTGCTTGTCGTGCAAAAGCAAAAATGACCTTGGTAGTTAAGTAGTATCTCGTTCTCTGCCGTAGACCAAAGGTCCCGCAGAGTGTGCTGTGAGACATTTCTCGACGGCGTACGTATATAAGGACCGGCCATGAGTTCGCAAATCGCTTTCTCTGCAACACAAGAGCAGTGATTCATTCTGATATTGGCGGCGATGTGTGAGGGTTTGTTCGATGTGATGCCGCATAGCGAGTGGACAGTGTGGTTCGGGGACTGGTCGTGGTCGATTGTGATGTTCGTACCGCGTCATGTAATCTCTCATCCCTGGATTCTTCTTCCGCAATACGCGGGTGAGGAAGACGAGAGATGAGGAAGACTGGTATGAAAAGATGTAAGCAAAATGTCGGTGTACTTCATATCTGCGTTGCCAATGTCCCAGTGAAACAGTTTGGCTTTCGTAAGCTCGAGTCTGTGACTTCGAGCTCCCGTAATGGATCGTCAAGAGCAAATGATTGAGGATGAGAGATGCTTGTTTCATCACTCACCCCGTATATATAGCAGACAGCAAGATACCCAAGGCCGTTAGTATTCAGCAAGCTTGCCGGTAATGTATCTCCTTCGCCGGTAGCCCAGAGGCCTGCTGGGATACGTGGATCCATCGACGACTTTCATGGAATCGAATCGGGTCCAACTGAGAACCGGCGTCCAGCAACAACTTAAATAATCTTCGCAAAGGCTTCACTGAATCGCTCTTAGGTAATTGTACTGCTGCATACTTACATTGAAGTACGTGCCTAATTGATGGAATCGATATGTATGGGCACCCATGTCGTTTGTACGATCTAGTAATGTGCTGGCGAAGGGACAAGAAGTCGAGGTCCATGATCCGAAGTTATGAATACGGCGAGGATGACGGTGATGGACGCTAAAGCGCGGCCGAAGGAATCGAATGATGAGCTTTTGCGTATCTCAAAACAGTTCTCGTAGATACTGAATCATTGCGTTTTTGTTTGAAGAAATGATCGCGATCACATGGCTGGATAGATGCTTACTGCTTGGCAGGTCAGTTATATACACCATCAGTTACTGTATACTTACACGATATAATAGAGAAATTCAGTCCGAAACGTCCGTCCATTGGCAGGCGCACCAATTTCTCAGAATACTCTCCAAGGCGCTCGAATCCTGTAGACAATTCACGAACGATTCGTTTTCCCACTGGTTGGGGTTCGTGAGTATCGAATTCGTAGAAAACGATCGTAGGCAAGATTTCGATGAACCTCGAAAAAGCCGGAAGCTTACAATTGAAATAGTTTCGAGGCATATCACAGACCTTCCATTGAGAGGGCAAGCGGGTTATTCATGTACTCAGTCGCCAACCGAATCACGCAATCGATGATGACTATTGCCCATCAGCCTCGCCTTCGAGAAACAGTCACGACAACGCCGCAAACCAATCGCTTGTTCGCGGCGGAAAGCATCGGCATGAATGATGTGTTTGTTTTGGGATTGTTTTGGGAAGTGGCTGCATCGCACGTCCAGTACCTTCCCGTCAAGTCGGGAAATGCTGTGAGTTGAGTGAGATGGCGATGAAGAGGGGGGAAATGGTATTATCCACGGCTGCAGTATTTGATTCTCTTGGAAATTAATTTCTCTAAATTCCTAAATTTAGGCTTCATAAGTCTCGATGATGTCGCTGATATTAATCCTCGTCAGCGCCATGGTTTGCAGAAAGGAAGACAGTCGTAGTCTGGTGATGGATATCCCAGCACGTAACTTACCTACGTCAATTACGAATTATGTAATCTACTGCCCCGCGGTACCCAGCGACATCCCACCACCATCTCCGGCGCAATCCGACTTTGCCATCTTCAACGCCATTCAGGCCACCACATCAACGACGTTCACGAACCCGAACCACAAATTCTCAATCCATAACAACACACCACAGCGACGAACCGCACCGCAACCCGCCCAAGATGCAGGGCTTCAACATGGGGCGCTACGTCCCGCCGGACCTCGAGGGCACGACGACCGGCAACAAGCTGCACAACAAGCACGCCCTCGGCGCGCGCGCCTCCAAGCTCGCCTCCACGGGCGCCCTGACGGTCCGCTTCGAGATGCCCTTCGCCATCTGGTGCTCCACCTGCCCGAAGCCCACCATCATCGGCCAGGGCGTGCGCTTCAACGCCGAGAAGAAGCGCGTCGGCGCCTACCACTCCACGGCGATCTGGCAGTTCCGCATGCGCCACGCCGACTGCGGCGGCGTCATCGAGATCAAGACGGACCCGCAGAACACGGCCTACGTCGTCGTGTCCGGGGCGAAGAAGAGGGATACCGGGGAGGACAACGAAGATGCCACTCGGGCGGAGGGCGCGATGGTGATCATGACGGAGGAGGAGAGGCAGAAATTACGGAGCAACGCGTTCGCGAGCTTGGAGAAGACGATTGAGGACAGGCAGCAGCTCGCGCGGGCGACGGAGCGGATTGAAGAGCTTGAGGACGTGTCGAAGAGGCAGTGGGACGACCCGTACGCGCGAAACAGGGCGCTGAGGAAGACGTTCCGGGTGGGCAGGAAGGAGCGCGAGAAGGAGGCTGCCGTTGGGGAGGCGCTGAAGGATAAGATGAGCCTTGGTATAGACCTCGTGCCGGTGACGGAGGAGGATCGGCGGAGGGCGGCGTTGGTCGATTTCGGGCCGGGGGATGATGATACGGGGGCGGGCAGCAAGGCGTTGGCGAAGCCGTTGTTCTCGTCCGCGGTGGCGGCCGTTTCGAAGTCAAAGATGGCATCGGTGAAGGCGTCGAACGGGACGCCAAAAGCGGAGCTGGCGGCCTCGAAAAGGAGGGAGAATATCGTGTCTGAGATCGTGGGCAACACGCGCATGTCTCGCGACCCGTTCCTGCTGGAGGCGGCGCGGGCGGAGCGCACGCCGGTGAGGATACCAGGAGTGAAGCGGAAGCGGGATGTTAAAGAGGATGGCGACATTAAAGCGGTCGACGAAGGGCTGAGTTTGCCGCCTACCAAGGCTCTTGTGAGCTATGATTCGGATTCGGACTGAGCTTGATTTTCGAATGACGGCGTTTTGGGAGGCAATGGACAAGATACCCGGGATTAATGATTATGACTTAGAGATGAGAAGGGAACACCCATCAATAATGATAAACTACAATGTTTCACGCGTTTTCTTCAACAATGCACAACTTGGATGGGGGTAGCTTTTGGGGTCGATCGCTGCAATGGAAGGCTTCAGTGCCAGTATCTCACTACAATTTGGATTCGACATGACCATTCATCCAATGAGAACCAGCAAACCGGTTTGATCTTGCTCAAAATCCACAATGCTCTCACCCACTCCCTTCTCTCCATGGGAATCAGTAATAGCACGGTGAATGAAGGCATAATCAAGGTGTGCGCAGTATACATATCGTCGTCCGTTGTAAGTGACCATCCCGCGGATCACAGCACTACCTATCGCAATCCTCCTTTCTACCCACACCACAACTTCAAAATGAAATTTTTCCTAGCAGAAAAGTGCATTTAGTCAAAAGAAATAAAACCCACCACTCAGAATGCTAAAAAGCAAAAGAATTGTCCTCGGAGAGGCTCGAACTCTCGACCTTTGGATGTCCCTATCTACAGACAGAGTCATATTGAGTGATATGAGACCAACGCTCTACCGACTGAGCCACGAAGACCTTGTTGACGAAACCGTCCCAAATTTAGACTTATGTATGTAATGCGTGCGGGGGCCAAGCATAGCGACCCACACGAGTCCGTGCGCACCGCCGAAAGGGGAGACGGGATGGCGGAGCGGCCGGCGCGGTGCGGTGCGGTGCGGGGCTTGCCGGCTTTGACATCGACAACCCATGTGGCAGCTGACTTGTGCTGTTTACATCGGCGGGCCCATGTGGTCTGTCTACACTTTTCTTCATTGTTTCCTGGCTGGTCAATCATGACTTCCATACTGATTTCCTGGCTTGCTTTTTATCGAGATCAAATGCTAAAGTCTCCCGCTACCTGTGAAAACCTTAAGCCCATGATTAAGACCAAAGGCAGCCAAGACGTATGTCCTGTATCCTCAAATGTGTCGCGTGAGCATGTCCACTTTAGACATCTTGCTTGTCAAGGTTACCCGAACATCAGGAACATGAGTCAAAGCTCACCCGAGTTAGACAAGTCAACTCACCCACTCAGATTTTGAGACTATAGGCTAGAGCACTTGTGACCTCAGTAATGTTCATGTTCTTCGCGGAGACTCGCACAAGAACGAAACATTGGGAATTGCCAGTAGGTGAAAATGCTTTCAATTGCTCCGAAACGCCTGTCGTGATTGAGCTGTTCACAGCCCAACCACCATGAACTTCCCAACCAGATAACGTTTCGTGTTCAACGTACAGTATACACAGGCATAGACTGTTCAATGATATATCTACACCATGCTCATTATGACTCGCCCTTGCCCTGTTCCTCCAGACCCTCCCGGTCTCCGGATGACAACAATGCCTCCCAAACTGCCCGCCAAATAAGGAAACTTAGCCCGCGATGGTATAAAATGCTCCATGCCGAACGCCATAATGCATGCAATGCTTTCAGTGCGACCCGACCGATGAGAGAAAGACGAAGAGAAAAAGAACACGACCGGAAACCTGACGCGGTTTCTTGATGGGTAGTCCACTGGTATCATTGGTTCCATATGTGTGTGGAACGAGTCCGTAGCTTTTGTGCTTTCGGTGAAAAGGGGGTCAAAATCGATGTTTGAACGGGGCAGCGTTGGTCCTCATGTTGCGCGCCCTGGAGCGAAATATAAGCGGCTCCTACCACTCACTCAATTCCTCTTCGCCGAGGCGCGGAGACACGTCGTGCGCAGACAGTTCGCGGGTACTCCTCACCCCCCGCGGCAGTCGTTCAAGCTGGTTAAGCAGGTCATCCAACTCAGCCCAGTTGTCATCATTTTCTGCAAACTTCCGGTGCTTGCGCGTAAGAATATGCTGTAGAGTTCGTTAGCGAAATTCGTTGACAAAGTCTCAAATTGGATTTGACCCACCTCATCAAAGTCCTTGAACTTGTCCTGGCAATTCTCGCAGTAGCCCGGCTTGAGATCGCGCTTGCTCTTAGCAGGAGGCGCCTGTGTCTTCGAGCTGGTCCGGATGAGCTTGGAAGTCTGCTTCTCTGCATCTTCTTCCATGAGTTCCATCCGCCTGCTCGTCGTCCTAGAAATGCTGGTCGATCTCGTGGACGTGGCATCCAGGCTCATCTCGGTGAGTCGGCGAGAGCTGGCATCCTGGGGCGCAGGAGCACCTCTCTGAAGCACCTTGCGCTGTAACCCGTGGATCTCCTTGCTGGTACCAGCCTTGGTCCCGTTGACACCCGAAGTAGACGAAATCATTTGAGAGCGAATGGCGGACGTGATGTTTGAAGGCTGCACCCCAGAAGCCACAGGCTCGCCAGCAAATAAACGTCCCGCGCCAGTCCTGCTCGTGAAAGCATTCTGGGGCCGGAAATCGATCGGGTTCGCAGCCACCACCTTCGGGGGGTTGAACATCTGCATGGGCTTCTCAACCGCCTTGGCCTTGTTTTGTCCGTCTTGCATCTCTGTAAGTGTACGCTTGCCAATGACAGCCTTGGGCGCAGGCATCTGGGGAGGCTGAAAAGACGCCCGCTCCTCAGGTGTGGGCTTCGCAACGCGGTCCTTCGTTTCCTTCTGGTCCTTCTGCTGCGTCTGCTGTTTACGGCTCGTTCGCTCGACCGGTTCCGGCTCTTCGACGAAAGGACAGCGGCCGTCTGTAACAGTTCGGAATTGCGGCCACTCGCCATCATACTTGTTGTTGACCTTGGAATATTCGCGAACCATAATGGGCTTCTGCTTCTCATCAATATCGTACACGTAAAGGTACGGTCCCTTGAAAAGGATCATCTCCCGGCTGGTGACGGCATCCGAAGGGCCGTTCAGGCGCTCTTTTTGTAGCAACTGCATCAAGCCCGGCTCCTCGGCTGCTTTTCTCGTGCTCAAACTTTTCGAGGACTTGCCCTCGGCGCCAAACGAAGCCACGACGTGCGGGTCGGGTTCGAGCAAGAACTGCAACATCCTCTGAAATTTCTCGACGGACCAAATCTTCTTGCCCATGTCACGGGCCTTGTGAAGTACGTCCATGACACGCGGCGCGCGGGGCCGTCTAATGCCATCATCCTGGGGTTGAGCGTGGGCTCGTCTCGTAGGAGGATCGAATAGCAAACGTCTCCGTGCATCGGGAGCTCGGTCGAGGAGAGACGGGTTAATGGTCTGGGGCTGTTCTTCAGGCTCGGGTTCATCATGCGCGGGGTGGGTGTCCTCCTGGGAGGGTATCGGACGGGCGGTTACGACGTGAGTGATGCTGCTCGAGAAGAAGCGTTCATTGCTCTAGGAGAATCGTGTTAGCAAGCCAGTGACTTTTACCCAGCATAAATTTCTACCACATACAGCACCGAGGGACGTAGCATGCTTGACAAGTTTTGCCCTCTGATCCTCCGTGATGCCGTCGAAGTAGAAGACCATCTTAGGGAATCTTCCACGGTACTCGTGCTGCCATTGGCGGATCTTGTCGACGTTGGCGGCGTCATCGTGGTTTGCGGATCGGTCCTTTTCCTTTGTAACGGGGCGGGCGACACGCTGGGGCAGCTGAGAAGGCTTCGTGATCTTGGAGGGGGATCGTTGGTGACGCGAGGCTACACTCTCAACGGCCTGTCTCTTCAACGGAGGAGGCTGCCCATAAAGCTCCTCTCGTTGAATATTAGCGTGGGAGCGTCTCTGCTTAGCCTGAGCCAGAGCAGAAGCCGCTCTCAAGGGCGAATTGGCCACATTGGGGTTGCTAGACAAAGGCGCTCGTCTAGCAGACATGGCCGTGTTCGGAATGGGAGTGGGCGATAGGGATATGGCTGCCATAAAAAAATGTCCAATCAATATGCTCGGCGAAGAAAAAGAAGGCTTGTTGTTTTGATCGTGTGGTTCGTGTGCGTGTGAGTGGGTGCGTGTGGTTCCTCTTCGGAGAGCGAGGCGGGGGGTTGCTCTGTGGACGGGCACGCGACGTGGAGGCTGACACGTCCTTCACGCGTTACCGAACAGAGAGCGTGTCTCGAGGATTTACGACGACATTGAAAGATGCGAGTTTTTGGGTGTCGTCGAGAAGGAGGGAGAGAGGCGTTGAGAGGAGGGTCGAAATGGGATCAGGACCAAAAAGAGACAGAGGAGGGTGAAGTGGGCAGGTCCAAGGCAGAGCTTTATTAATATGGATGAGCAAGGTAGAGAGCAGGAGTGAGCGTGGTTGGTGTTTGTAGGTAGGTGGTAAGGTATGGGAGAAACCTACAGTCCCCCGGGTTCGTGGACCACGGGCCATGATCCTAGTGACCCAAGTCGCGCTTGACGGGTTTGGGAGGGGGGAATAACAGCGCTAATCCCCGTTCGGTAGCGTCAAAAACATGCACGGGCCAACCTCCTTCTCCAGCAACCGCCCAAATTTGCTTGGCCAGCGACCTCTGCCACAGTGTCCGGGCCGCCTGTGGTGAACGGAATACAGTGAGGTTTCCCTATGTTTTAGCGACCAACAACACTGGACTGCGTCTGGTAACGACGGGCCCTTCCTGGAAATTGGATGGAGCTACAGTGGGAAAAACAATGAAAAATCCTGCCAGGCGAGGATCCATTTTGCTGACCCCTTCGCCTGCAAATCCCAGCTGCTGCTGCGGGCTACGCAATAGTTCCCTAGGTAGTTCCTACCGTGCCGAGGATACATCATTTCCCTCTTGCAGGTTGCTGTTATTGCTGTTGTTGCTATGTTTTTCTTCACGGCAACACCTTCGTACCCGTACCTTATCGAGAGGTTGGTGGAGGCGCAACCTTGACAGTAACACCCGCCCTGCATCGTATTACTGCACCACCGCACTTACTTACATACGCGTGCTGATAGTCATGTCCTTCCTCACTAAATACATATCCGAACTTTCCACACCAAACAAACAAAAATCAATCTCGTACCTAACCCGAGTTCGTCATTGTGGCCCCATTCCCGAAAAAGGCATCTCACATCCGTCTCAGTTGAAACTTCCTCGTCCAAGGGAAGAAAAGGCCGCTTGCGCTGGGCTGGACACTAATCGCACCTTGACGAGTCAGCCAGACGGACAAACAAAACTGTCCTGAGTCTAGCGCACTCGGAAGGCGGTAGCGCAGAGCAAGAGCGAACACTCGCCTAGGAACCCGACTGACGCTCACTTCTCAGTCGAGGCTCTGCGTTTCGTGATGACCTCATCAGGATCATAACCTTTCTCCTCAACCTCGCTCATAAAATCCGTCCCGCCCGACATCCCCTTCAGATCCATCCATTCCTGGATCATGAACGCCTCACGGTCAGTGAGTCGAGCCCTTCGGGCCGCTCACAAGCTGCCCCGCGGCAGCAAACCATCACTATGGCGGCCAGCATCCGTACCCGGACGTCAAATCCGGCGCTACACCGACGCCGTAGTCTCCGCCGCCGATCTCCAGTTTGGCCAGCCAGTGCATGAGACGCATCCTCACATCCTTAATGCGGGCGAGAGTCAGTAAAACATCCAATCCGCCCTATATACAGCATGCAAAATGTCCAACCCTTGAATAATGCGCTTGCAAGAAGAGAAAAAGAAAGGTCGCACTAACACATTCATGCAGTCACACCGGGTATCACAGCCCAGGAATACTGGGACAGGCGCGCCCGCCTCGCCGAAAAGCTGCCGGAGGGCGGCGTCGCCGTCCTCTCCGCCGCGGACCTCAAGTACCGCTCCGGCGCCGTCTTCTACCCCTACCGCCAAGAGTCGAACTTCCTCTACCTCACCGGCTGGAACGAGGGCGACTCGCTGGCCGTCATCCAGCGGACCGGCAAGGACTTCGGCGACTTCACCTTCCACCTCTTCGCCCAGCCCAAGAACCCCATCGCCGAGCAGTGGTCCGGCGCCCGGAACGGCATCCAGGCCGCCACCGACATCTTCAACGCGGACAAGGCCGCCGACATCGCAAAGGTCGACCGCTACCTCCCCGACATCCTCAAGTCCGCCACCCGCGTCTACACCGACATCGAGAAGCCGAAGCAGGGCGAGCAGGGCGGCCGGCTGTGGCAGCTCATGAAGAGCGGCGAGGACTCGTGGTTCCCCTCCGTCAGGCTCCCGCTGTACCCCGTCATGAACTCGCTGCGCTGCTTCAAGTCCCCCGCCGAGATCGCAAACATGCGCCGCGCGGGCCAGATCTCGGGCCGCGTCATCACGGACGCCATGCGCCGGCAGTGGACCCGCGAGAAGGACCTCCACGCCTTCCTCGACTACCGCTTCACCGCCGACGGCCTCGACGGCCCCGCCTACGTCCCCGTCGTCGCGGGCGGCCAGAACGGCCTCTGCATCCACTACGTCGTCAACAACAACGTCATGCGCGACGGCGAGATGGTCCTCGTCGACGCCGGCGGCGAGTACGGCACCTACATCACAGACATCTCCCGCACCTGGCCCGTGAACGGCAAGTTCACCCCGGCCCAGCGCGACCTCTACGAGGCCGTCCTGACCGTCCAGCGCGCCAGCGTCGCCCTCTGCCGCGAGGACGCCAACCTCTCCCTCGACGAGATCCACGACCACACCGCCAGGGGCCTGCTGGAGCAGCTCAAGAGCCTGGGCTTCGACATGACCAGCCGCGACCTCGACGTGCTGTTCCCGCACCACGTCGGCCACTACGTGGGGCTCGACGTCCACGACGTGCCGGGCTACGGCAGGCGGACGCCCCTGAAGTCGGGCCACTGCGTCACCATCGAGCCCGGCGTCTACGTGCCGGACACGGACCGCTGGCCGGAGCACTTCCGCGGCATGGCCGTCCGGATCGAGGACAGCATATGCGTGGACGCCGAGTCGCCGTACGTCCTCACGACGGAGGCCGTGAAGGAGATCGCGGATATCGAGGCTCTGAGGGACTAAACTCCCCCGTGTAACATCAGAACGTAAAACTGTACCCAACGCTGTATTGTTTGTAAATTACCAAACCCTCGCGGCTCGCACGCGGTGTTATTGTACAAAAAAAGTTAGGAGCAGCCTCCGCTATAGAATTTTGTACTGCTGCTTCAGACGCAGCTCATCTGGCCAAACACATGTCCCCGATCGGCTGACAATCAACATGCCCTGATTTGACTTCTGCAACAACCCGGGAGACCCAGGACCCTTGCCTCCCAGGAGCTTTGACAGCCCAGGGAAGTTCCTCCTTGGGCACGTTCCGAATGGAACAGGCGGGGCTCCGCCATCTGTCACTGACGGACATCTCCCGCCTCCTGGGGCACAGTGTCCAGGCAAGAAAACGTGTTGATCAGCTGATGCGGACGAAAGGATGAGACAACTCGTTTGTTTCGGTGGCAATGTGAAGCTCCCAGCGGCCCGCCGGCCTCTGTGCTGGTACATTCACTGACGAAGCAGTTCGTCCACGCTCCGTTCAAAGCTGTTCACATTTCACATGTCGATGCTGCAAAACGATAAAAGGTACAGGTCTGATAACCTGGCATTATTCTGTATATGCCTACATGTATTCATGCCTCGTAGATTGACCGCAATCGTATATTTTAGGGCGAATGACAGCCCGTGACACCATAATATGTACAGTTTCGCAATCGTAAATGCGTAATGTAGTAAGGGGAGAGAGATGTTAACAGAATCCTCTCGGGTCGAACAGGGTTCTGCTGTAATTCGGCATCGGGAACGGCTGCCGCGCCGTTGCACTGAGGAGTTGCTCGAAGGCCTGCAGCCGTCTCGCGAGTTCCTGGTGCTCACGCATGATGGCCTTGTTTCTTCGCTCTAGGTAATGGATGTACTCCGTCGCTTTCGTGAGGACAGTGCCCTGAGTCAAATGTGAGTAAACGCAGCGCAAGATGAGAAGGAATGAGGCGTCAGAACTTACCTTGCTCACTTTGGGGCCGCGCTGCGACTGACTGTCCACCTCGGCGTCTTCGCCTCCATCTTCGGGTATTGACCTAAGTGATGGCACAGCATCGCGCAGCTCAGAAATTCTGTCCTTCAAGTTGGTGCGGTATTTCCTCTCAATGTCGTTATGCGCCGTTCGGTCGCCTCCTTTGCCTTTGTCTTTGGACTTTTCCGACACCCCTGTCGCGGCAGTCGTGGTTCGCGACACTGCAGGCCGTTGCGCAGGGGCCTTCTCCTTCTCCTTGCCCTTGTTGTGTTGAAGATCTGGATCTTCGGGGCCTCTCGTGAGATCATTCATGCTTGCCGTCGCCATGTGGGCATCGAAGTTTTCAAGACTCGCAAACTCAGGGCCCAGGTCAGCACCGACACCAAAGCCCATCCCGGAACCTATACTCGTCGATGACGACCGGCCGGTGTTGAGGGCAATGGCGAGCAGTCTTCGCTGTTCGGGATCGAGCATAGGCGCGCCCATGCCAGCCATGCCGCCGCCCATACCTCCCATGCCAAAAAGGGGGTTCATCCTTAGACCTGGCGCCGGTTTCTCCCAGCTCAGGGGCGTCGAATACAGTCCCTCTCGGGGAGGGACCTCTGAGGGAGGTTGCGAGTCGATCTTGCCGAGCTGATCGCCGAGATTCATCGACTCCAAGACGTCCTCGTCCTCGGACAAGGCGTTATCGAGAGCAGTGTCATCCATGAAGTCTTCTGGCTTAAACACGGGATTCGTGTAAAGTCCAGCGCCTAGACCGGGCGTTGTGGACATGGGGTTGAGACGATTCGCAGCTGGCGGTCTGGTTGAGAGTCAGCTGTCGCGCCCTGGCATATGGGCCTTTGGATAAGGCAGGCAAAATACCTGGAATAGTTCTGAGTAGGGTGTCTGCGCTTGGAAAAGTCGATCTCGAAGCTACCGCCCAGCTTCTGTTCCTCATCATCGTCGAACTGGATCCAGTAGTCGACGGACTCCAAGGCCGCAGCTTCGGGGTCGACCTTGGTCCGCTTGCGCTCATGTCCGTCCCGCCGTCTCGGGCCAGCATTTTGAGCTGTTCGGGTCGGCAAAGCGTTCCTCTGTTGACCTTGCCCGAAGTTCATTTGGGCGGGCATGGGGCCCATGCCGAAGTTCGTGCTGGCCGGCGAAGCCTGCGCAAAAGAGGGCATCGAGGAAGGGCCATTGGAGGTCGACTCAGAGTTGGATTGGTCGGCTCCTAGGGCCTCCCACAAAGAGGCGTCGGGCGCATTTCTGGCGGCACCTGCGGCCGATGACTCGGCGGGCTGCTCCACAGAGTTGTTGGTCTGGTTATTGGGGACGGCGAAGTAGTTGAGGTCCTTTAGAAAGTTGGGGTCCATCACCACAAAGCCAGCATTTCGGCCCCCGAATAGTCGGCGGTCGTCGATCTAGAAATCGCTTTTTGTGATTTTTTTATGGGAGGGAGAGTGGATGCTCGGCGCGATCGTCTGCGGGTGATTTCCTGAGCGCCGGGACCCAGATCTCGTACGTTTTCCGCGTTGGGGAGGAGGAGTCGGCGATTCAAGATGACGAGTCGTACGACCTCGTATAGCGACCTGTGGACAAGAGGACAGTCCAATGGCAGCTTCGTCAATGGCGGCAAGGGACAGTCGCAGCAGTCGTCGGTGTCCGCAGGGATGGATCGAGGTGCAGGATGCAGTATCTTCAAGGACAAAGATGTCGGTCGCGTTCAGAGGCCGTGAAATGTCTGGGTTCGTAGACGGGCGGCAAGGTAGAGGTAGGCAGGGCGACGAGGCGGGGATATCGCTTAATAAGATCAGCCAAGGTCCGAATACTTCGTAGTCGAAGGTCCAAGACAAGAAGGCAAAGCTGGGACCGCCGGGCTGGGGAGCTTCGTGCAGGAGCAGGAGCAAGAGAGACAAATCAGAGAAGAGCACGAGTCGGGTTACGGGAAAGCGACAACGAGATACACAGAAGCGCCAGACGGGAAAGGCACAAGAAAAGAGTTGAGGGTTGGGTTGGGGAGGAATTTGTGGAGGCGACGACGAAAATGACTGGTCACACCTTAGGTGGTTATGCGGCAGCGGCAGGGAGCTTCGGGAGAGAAAAGGCAGGCGGCAGGCAGGTGGACGAGGACGTTGGGGGGGAAAGGAAGACGAAGGCGAAGGCGAAGGCGAAGACCAAAAGTCGACTGATGTTCGGGGACAGAACTCACAGGAGAGAGAGGACCCGCGCCGGATTCCGTGGCTGAAGTTACGGTGGTGGTGGTGGTGGTGGTGAGAATGCGAATGTTCGGGGCCAGGACCGTAGTGACGGCCGAGAACCAGGAGGGCGAATGAAGCAGAAGGGAAAACGGGGGAAACGACGGAAAAAAAAACATAAAAACACAAAATAAAAAAAACCAACATGTGCAGAGATTGCCAATTGGCCCGGGAAACCCAAGTGGTGACCTCGAGAATCGGGCGGAGTGGGAAGAGCAAGTGGCCTGACATCGCATCTGCCAGCGACCGGGGCCGAACTGGGACATGGACAAGACTGTATCAAAAATCGAACATTTGAGCTTTTTTATCATACGATGTTCGCGGCTGAACAGCTCAAGTCGTCCGATCCCACCAAGTCTGAGCTAATTCCCGGCTGATTGGCCATTCGAAACGGCCCCCAACTCAGAGCTATCAGCCTTGCAGAACATCCTTGCATCAATCATTCCGTCTCCGCCCTTAGCTTAGACTTCCCGCTCTGTCAGGGTCTGCCTGCTTCGGGCCTAGGGACAGTCAAAACGCTGAGAGCTTCCAGGCCTTCAGACGAGTTCCATTCCTGCTTCCTGCTTTCCATTCTTCCCAGGTTCCATGACACCTCTCCGCATTCCGCCGGCAGCCACAACGGTATCCAACTAAGGTACCTTACCTTACCGCACCTTGAGCATGAAAGCAGCACTCTTCCATCCGCTGCAGTAAAAACTGGTTTAGCTGGGTTACACATCCCCAAAAGAGGCACGTCTCCGTTGGTGGCCGGGGCGGGACGAGCGACATGGGGTACCACAACGTCAAACCAAGCGAGCCTGGCTTCCGCTGTCTCTTTGCATCTCCCGTTATCTCCCTGCCATCCTCTTCCGTCCTCGCCAAGAACCGTGCGTGCCATCCGGTCAAAAGAAGCCCGGGAGAAGGGGCTCTGGAACGCAACGTCCGTCCTCCAACTCCGGCCGGTATTTCGGTGGCGGAGGCGCACACGTGGAACCGTCGAGACATACAGCCCGAGACAAACGTTGGCGCCGTTGGGGAATAACGCCTTTATCGACGCGCCGGTTCTATGGCTGCCAAGTGGCTGTCCTTGCGTACGACCTCGACCTCATCCCTATAATTGATTTCAGGGGCATGTCTTCTTTTCCATCGGCGCTACTTGATTTTGCCACTCGCTTAATTGTTCTGAAGGCGTTCTATATGCATAGCACTGTTGTCGCAAAAGACCGAGCCAAGTGGTTGAAGCTGGGTAACAATATGGTGTTTGATGATGCGGATATCATCAAGATAGGAAGCCAACACAGCACAATGTTTCTTTCCATGATTGCTAGTGCAACATTTATGACATCCCTGCTTCTCAAAGACTCGGTCGCCCGACTCTGCGACTTATATAGCCATAAGTCGCGGTGTAGTCAAAAGTCTTCAGTTCCAACATTCAAGATATTACTTACTCCAATGAAGACTGTTACTTCGACGCCAATTCAGCATGAAGTCATACGAGTCCGCCGCAGCTCTCATCCTGGTCCTGCTATCACCAGTGTATGGCTTGGGCATCCCAACCCCGATTTCCACTCCGAGCCCGCTTCACCAGCCCGTTCACCCCGACTGCAGTCAGTTCTACCAAGCAAAAGCCGGTGACGACTGTGAAAGCATCTCCGACGCCAACTCAATCTCTTCCTTGGACTTTGTCTGGTTCAACGGAGGCCTCGATCACTTGCACTCATGCGATGAGGAAGAAATCAAACCCGGTACATGGTATTGCGTCGAAGTCGGCGACATGAGCTCCGCAGTCTCAACCGTCACCGCCGTAGAACCCAAGGCTACGATTGAGAAGAGAAAAATGGTTATTTCGATACCGGTGCCGTCCTATATCATCGCTCTTAGATCGTCAACCACGTTAAGGCCTAGATGGGTTGCCAGCAAAACCGGCGGGACACCACCAGCCAAGCCCACAGGATACCTTCCAGGCACATTTGGAACCGCGGGCTTTCACACAAGGACCTCAACCGCGCCCAGAATCACTGTCCCGCCGGAGCCGGCATGCCTACCGGACGAGTGTGCCGCCGGGTTCCAGGCCGCCGTTGGCACCGCGGCGGCTTCTCAGAGCCAGTTCTGCGCCAGGGTCCTCGGGACCGAGTGCCGTCCGTATGAGCTCCGGGGCATGGGCCTGCCGTTGTCGCTATATAGCGTGTGTACCCAACGCGATGTGTGCCAAGATGTCTCGTCTGCCTGTTCTTGCTGGACAAATGGTCAAATGACTTGGCACCCGACCCGCGGTCAGTCATGGGGGCGGAAGTATCTGAATATGAAGGTTCCTGCGAATCTCATCCACTGAAGGGCTGTCGCATGGTCGCGTTGTGAAACGACGGGATGAAGCCGCGGATTAGAAGAAAGCATTCAGGCTGGGTCACCTGCATAGGCAGTCAGGCATGCCGTTGTCAGAGATGTCATATCTCCTTCACTTCACTTACAAACCACTTGTTTCTCATAAACCACACTGAAATACGATGGTTCTTACAATCTCATACTTTGAATGGTTCTCAGTTGCTAAGGTTTTGGTTTCGTGGGAAAGAGCTATGCACCCGACCAAAAATATGATTTGTCAGGCTTGATCATCTACGCAAGAGGCTGCTTTGTTCACTCCAGCTACCTATTCAACCCACCAAATCGCTTCTCCCTTCTCAACCATCTAGTCATCTTATCGCTCACCAGCCGTTAGCCAGAGACTTTAGCCTGCCGGCTTCTCAGCCCCTTGACTATCTCAACGTTGGGGGTTCGGGTCGGACTGTCGATTGGCGCAGTCGGTGCATAAGCCAGACCACGCAACGGTCTCGTGCTGGGCACCGGGGCCCATGCAGCCCCTGCCGACGTTCTGGCACCACTTGATATCGTGGAAACCCGTGTGGCCGCACTCATACTTCTTGTCGATCTGCTCGCACATCGTCGTCAGGCAAGTTCGACAGTCTGTAACGCGGTTGTCACCGCTGGATCTCACGTTAGCTTGTCATTTCTGATCGCCGGTTCTTCCTACCACGAATCTTGAAACATGGGCCCATCACCGTACAAGTCGTAGGGTATGTAGTGTCTGATGAGCTTGCTAACAGCAGGCCCCTTGCGATATATGATTTGTGACTCGACTATGCAGTCGGCTCGGTGGAGGACTTCGGTGTTTGCCTTCTTGCTTCGGACTCGGTAGTCGCGGGCTGTCTAATAACAGCGGGAAGCTTAGATGGCAAATCACTCTAGGTCAAGCTTCAAGGCATCGAATCCACGGCAGAGGACTTCGATAGGAGTCTCTGGCAGGATTATGTAGTAATAGGGTCAAAAGACTTGAAGAGTGGACGGAGTGTTGAGTTGGAGTGTCAATTATGGACAAAACAGGACGAGGGTCAAGAGAAAATACACGAGGCTCCCCAGCCTGTTTAAGTATTGCGTATGAGAACACGAGAGTTCAGCTAAATCCAACTCATACCGCGCGGTCTAGGCACTTCCCGGACGCCTGGCCGCGTTCCGCGGTACTGGAAACAGCGTCTATCCCGGTTCCAAGATGCGCAACTGCCATGGAAAATCAAACGGTATCACATATCAAAAAACCTGCAGTCCGGAACTTGACAGCTTCAATGGGGACTCGAGAGGAGGGGCCGGCCATAAGCAGTGCTTTTCGAGGGTACTGTGATTTCCGTCCCGCCAGCACCAAGGAGCCACAACCGACGTCACTTGGCGAAAGCTGGGTCCTCCTCGGCTCCATGCAGCTGGGCACCACCGCCGCCGGCAGTCTCCCCCCTCGGTGTTTGGTTTCCCGGTTCGTCTTGGACTGGGGACTAGGGGAAAAAGGCGGTGGGTAAGGGTACCGGCATGGTCTCTTTTCTCCTCGAGCATATCATCGAGATCTCCAACCTCTCGACAACCTGTACGAAGCAGGAAAGGGGGCCAGCCACGTCCCTTGTACTCTGTACATGTCCGAGAGAGACAGACAGAGAAAGTGAGGAAGAAAAGCAAGACCAAGATGGAAAAGGATTGTCGTCGGCAGTGGAGAACGAAAGGTGACAAACAACGACCCCCGGACCCCTGCCCGACTCCTCCGGGGTAGATCCCGGTCTGCCCTATCACACAAGGACGCTGTCATTTGGGATCTTCTCAGGGTGTCGTAAACCTTCAAGTCACGACGTCTAGATTCCATGCTGCTCTTGACGTGCGCCGGCCCCAAAAGTTTAAGAGAATGCTACCCTTCGATGACGAGCACGGTGATAGGGGTTACCGAGGGGACGGAGATCTCTTCGGGGGTCATCGAGCTCAGGAGAGGAGGGGTAAAAACGCAACCGCAGTGTGTCAGCGGCATCCTGCGTCGACCTCTCTCGAAGGCGCCCCCACTGCGCGAACTTCTGCGCGAATGGGCTGATGTGGCTTGCGTTCGTCACACGCACATTTGAGAAACATACATGCCCGCACCGCACGCACGACGTGTCCCATGCAGCGAATAGTCTGTTGGAGGGGTCCCATCCGAGTGGCGGGGATGGTGGCCGGACATGCAGGGTCGTCAGGGCAGCTGGATCTCGAACGTTTATCTTGAATTGCCATCGTCAAGTATACTACCAGACTTGCTTTCTCGTGTTTCGGCACCTGGAAACGCATGTCATGCTTACGGCTTATAGCATCAGGCGAGCCGTTTTTTGCTTTTGAGTGAAGATCGCTTAGTGACGATGGCGACATGTACGGCTCGGCTGACTTTTGCCTTGTTGGTCTTTGACAGGTTATGTCTGGCGGAAACGGTCCCGCTTGAAGCCGCCGTCGGTACATGTCGCAAGCGAGGTTCAGCCCGGATGTCTAATCTCAGCGCCGATATGAATGGGATTGCAGTTGTAAAAGCATTAAAAAACACTGTCTGTACTTTATCCCCGTGGCCATCATGTGATGATCGTAATATACGAGGCCGTTCAGAGCACTCTCGTGTAAATGGGTTGGTTGTGAGCAATATCACAACTGGTCGTTGGTTTCCGTACAATCTCCATAACAAAAGTTAAGTGCAGTAAGAAAAAGCTTTTTTGTTGTAAAATGTCTTCCAGATGCAAGTTTTCGACGCCGCAACTCTCTTCGCCCTGTTGGCCATGAAAATTTGGTAGGTATCGAGTGATTTCTATGGTATCCATGCAAATCATTCCTGACTCCTCCGGTCTATAACAACTTTCACCCACCCCTTCCTTACGATATTGCACCAACACTCTGTAACGCCATATCCAAGCTAGGTATCTTGAGACGAGAGTCGAAGTAAAGTTTTCTAATCCCATGTGAGTTTACATCATGACGAGAACGAGAAGCGACAGTAAACCCGGCAGAATAGTAACGAAGTACATCGTCAAGTCCAGACAGCACGCCGAGAAGCCACGATGCTCTACACAATGCTCCGCCCAACTCACCAGAGGCCACAGACGGTCATAAGAGCGGCGGCGGCACAGCCATCTTCAAGTTCCGAGACGACAACCCCGCTGGAGGCTATGTTACTGGATTCGCATTCCTACCGGAATGGGAAGCCAGACAACAACGGAATCTCCAGAACAGCTTTTTATACAACCTCCCGCGAGAGCTCATACTCAAAGTCATGCTCAAACTGAAAACCGTCGATCTCTATAGTCTTTGACAGGCCTCACGCATATTCTCGAGTATTTACCTCGATCACTGTCGCAGGATAGCACCGATCGCCGCTCTACCGTCTGAGGAGACATATTCCCTGTCAGAGTCATCTACGGCGACATTAGAGAAGACAGAAAAGCCACCGGTCGTCTCTCGTCTCTCTCCTACAACGGAGTTGCAGCTCACAGACGACGAGTACGAAACGCTGCAGAAGCGACGCATGGAATCAAAGCTGTGCCAGCCATGCCGTGGAAACATTGGCCGTGTTGCAGCAATTCGAACCCAAAACTACAAAAACCTAGTGTTGAGGTCAGGCGGGCGGTGTACCGAAGGCTTTCCACTGATTTTCTTTACATACATCTGGGCGGAGCTCGAACAGTGTTATCGACATCGTAGCGGCGTTCGAAACCGCGACACCCTATTGTGCAAAGTGCCAGGATCGTCACAGATGGTATCATTTCCCCATCGAAGAGTTCGACGAGCCGAAGAAGGGACGGCGTACCTACATTTGCAATGGATGGAAGGGGAAACTTAGAATGTGCGCGCACCAGGACGTCTCCTGGTCGCAACTCTGCGCTGGTCACCCAAACCTCCTGGACGACTTGGATAAGTACGGCAAAATTATCTTCAAGTGCTCAAACTGTACTGCGGCTGCGGCGGTCGGGAAACACGGAAGCGCTCCTTGCCTTTACTATCGTCCTGCTCCGTGGGGTCAGACCGATGGTAATCCCATATCGATCACTCTACGTTGGAAACTGGTCGTGTGTGTTCTCGAGCGGGACCAACCCGTGACGAAGGACCTACTTCGACAGGGCCTCAAACGACTGCACAAAGACCACGGCGACCTTTGTTGTCCGCACACGTCCTTCGACCGCGAAGGGATGCTGGAGCCCTTCCGGTGGAACAGGTGTATCTGCTTTAGAGAGCTGGCATTAGATATCCCTTATAAGTGTTATCATCACTCCTGTGTTCATCAATTGCGTTACGCATGTTTTGCTTGCTTGTTATACGAAAGACAAGACCGGCAACGTGGGCGAGTTTATGCTGTCTGATGGGAAGCATCTCCCCATACCGCATTCGTACATCTGCCCCTGCGAATTCGGCTATCTTTGCGGAATCAAAGAAAACCGAGTTGTGTTGAATGGAACTCAACTTCAAGCAAACACCCGGATGTGAGGCGGCTTTCTGGGTGCATTGACAGCATGCATCCCGACAGTTACGAGATGGACAAGGACGAGCTGGAATTTACCTGGTGCGAGGACACAAGTTGTGCGAGATCTGAGATACCATACTGTCCTGTTTTAGGCTTTACCTAGTCTTCCTCATTTTGAAATATGATGTACCTCGTTGGAAGGAAAGACTAGAGGATTACCCTAGCTGCGACCATTTTATAGACGAGAATTTGGAACATGACGCAGCACATAATATTGCCACTATAATAGTCTTCCGGCAAGCTCAGACAACAAGAAGTGAAGCTTATGTAAGGTGTTGGTCGCACATATCATGTCTCATACTGGGCACAACGCTGACACAGCACCGGCAGGAGATGTCGTTGGAATAAAGTAATGCCTATCAGTTGCACTTTTGGATCCAGGTCACCCCGGATTCTTCTCCCCTGTTGCAGTAGCTTACCAGACCCCGGGCTACAACACAAAGACACGGGCCGTCGCGACGTTTATGCTGCTGACCGTCCCAGGAGACCGGGTTGAGAAGTTCTGAAAAGGGTCAAGTCTTGAACCGGCTGCTTTGAAGTCTTGTCGAGACCGCGGGGGTTCGTGGGGCGTGGGGGCTTGCTGAGACAGTCCTCGGTCAGCCGTGGGGTCTGCGAATCCTGCCACGGCCCTGCAGACAAGTCTTGGGGAATACTCTCTTTAAGGAGAAGTTTCTGGCCCGGTATGTGAGGCGGCCACTGGGTATTGCTGTGTGCTGAGGCCTGGATGAGGGGTCCGAGGTGGCTGGGTACTCGGAGTCGACATTGATCCCGGAAAATGGCTAGGAAAGAAGCCGCGTAATGGTTTATGAGAAGGTCCGGGGTGGCGGTGTCCAGGAATGGCTGACTTGCTGCTATTCTTCTTGTCCTTCGATGCTTCTACTAAACAACCCGTCACTTGCATCTTGTGTGTAATGTAGCTGGTCATTTCTGTTGAGTTGATTGGCATCCTGTCGACAAGTGTTTGTCGAAAGCGTCTTCGACCATGATAGCGTTCGGTATATAGAAGTAGTTCATTGTCACGTTCTTTTTCGTCAAAGACGCCCAGAGTCTTTGAAGGCCACGCCTCGAAAGATGGATCTTGATACGACGAGCCTCCTTGTTTCCTCATTTCTCTTCCCCCTTCCTTAGAAGACTTCGCCATGCTCCCTGAGGTAAGGATTGGAGATTGCCGACTTTAAGCGACCCATACTTTCTATGTTGGGGGCCAACCGTGACTTAATCCTTGCTGGATGGGAGAGCGCGGCTTCGAGGATACGCACATAGCGAATTACTCAGGGAACAATAGATGAGAGATGGGGAAAGGGCGGTAGACACCAAAATCTCCGATCGTCTCAATGGCTGAGCTTGAACACCGTGTGATCATCCTAGGTCTGCTTCAGAACCTCACGATCAGACACGTATGAGGCGGGGTCACCAGAGATTCGGTCATCTCGGCATTGGACGGCTTAGAGAGCGAGGATCCTTCCGAGGTTTCCAGGTGGAAAGTGACGGCGGAAAACATTTCCTCGGTAAGTAGGGCGAGTAGTCGCTTCATCCGCGGGATGAATGAGCCCGAATCATACAAAACGTCGTCGAAGTCGTGTTCGCCAAGAAGGAATGCAGCTGGAAGGGCCCATGATCATCCACGTGAGTGTCGTCGACGTCAGGCTCGGTACCATATCAGGCTCCTGGATGCACGACGCATGACGTCCCGCCCCCGGATTTTCCTCAGACTGCAGACGTGGCAGAGCGGCTCGGTGCTGATCGCCGAAGAAGTGAGGTAGTACCAGAAGGACGGTAATAACTGAGAACATAAGCTAGGTAGGTCTCAACCTCAGCTATGTGCGACGCACAGTATTGCTGCCGATGGACTGCCGCCTTGATTTTCTGAAGAAGTGACTTAATAAGGCACGTAGCAGGGCGTTCCCTATTGAGGCCAGACTTCAGGTACGGATTTAGATGTTTCTCCGTCAATCACGCGAAGGAGGCGTCTTTTTGTCAACTACAAGTTCAAGCTATCGATGCGAGAACCGGATCGATGGAAGCAAGCCATATTGCGGCTGAAGAATCGGCTTGGTGAAAATGACAGAATCTGAGTCGAGAACGAAGTCGTGCCTAGTGCGGGGAAAGCCGGTCGTCCGCTCAAGGGCTGAGAGCGTAGCAAAGGTGGCGAGGTGCCGTTATCCGACGCAGGATGGATGCAGGCAGTGGTGAAAACGGGAAGGTCGCGCGGCGTGGGTGTGAGATGCGCAAGAACGGTTGAAGGAGGACTTCAACGCCACCCAGGCGGGATTCTACACCATTCTTGGGAACTCTGGTCAGCAGACACTTCTCGCTATTCCCGAACACGCCAACGAGGAAATCCCGGCCGGCTTGGTTTGGAATACCAAGACAAACACTGTAAGGTGGTGAGTGGGACTTACACTGTCAGGTCGGCATGGATGAGTTGGCCGAGACCTCGGGCACACTTACAGAACTCTGCAACGACTTGATACTTCCCACGAGGACCGCTCGATTGGGATGATTGCATAGAGAAGAACACATCGAGTAATCGCGTAGTCGTCGTCAGCTCGCATGAGATGACGAGGTGTTGGTCCGGTCAAGGGCGTTGATAGCTCATGATAGCTTGGCAAAGGGAGGTGAGTTTCACCATCGACTTCCGGGTACTCTGAGCGCTTCTGCAAACTTAAGAAAGGGATCTATCCATCTCGAACTCCCGTCGTTATTCAGGAAGTGCCAAAACCCGTTAGATGGCAACCACACCGCCAGACCTATTTAGGGCGTTGCCTGTTTAGGGTGCTGTCCAGACCCGTGACAAGGAAAGACCCTTCAAGCTAAGGTAGCCTCAAAAGACACCCTTCTTACCGTGGGGGTTAGTGCCATTATTTGGGCCTTGATCAAGTAACTCCCATGACGGCCGTCTTGCCCTGTGTGTAAAGTTGGTCCGCTTGAAGTGGCAGCTCTGGCATTGAGCTGCAAACTGTGAATCCTTAGCTAGCAAAGCCAACAAAAGTAGCCTCTGGGCACATGGTGAAGGTGATGCCTCATTTAGAAGTCGTGAAGTGGATCTTCAGTCGCATCAGTCGAATATTGAGAATTATTTGAAGCAATAATAGGCGGATTTGGTTAGCTTGCTGCTGCCTGAACGACCTGCGTCTGATGGACGGTTGTGTTGCCGTAAGCCTACTGTGGTCCTTGAATGATGTACTCGCTTTTGGCAAAGACGACCGGGTCGTTCTCTTGCTGCCAAGGCACGAAACAAGTTGTCGAACGGTGACTTGCCTCTCAGTGAGGCCTCTTGTTTACTGAAGATGAGAATCAAGCAAGGTGTGAATGAAACAGGGAAGAAGATGGTGTCGTCTTGGATGAGGTGCAGTGAAAGCAAGGACCGTTAGGGGAGCCGTGCCCTGAACGGCCGCTCCCGGGCCCGGACCCAAACTTCTTCCCCAATGGACCTCCTGAACCTCTTCTTACCATCCTCCCGTCCTTTGGTAATGGAGACCATTATCTAAGGTAACCCTCAATATACCTCTCTCGAAAGGCATCGAACGTCAATTCTTCAGATGATGAACGACAGGAAATCCCCAACTGGCTGGCGGCGACTCGTACCAACACAGTCACCAGTAAACGGGTGCCCCGTCAACTTGCAGTTGATCAACAGGGCATCTCACGCACCATCTTACTGTCTGCAGCATTTCATGCCGGTACGCTTCACATTACTGTCAAGAAAAAGTCTTTGGATCACATGGCACTAAGAATTTTACAGAGACATTGAACGTGGCTGGTCGTTCTGCCAGATGCTTTGCTCGAATCGCTGCACCATGCCGAAATGCGACATTGGCCGACTGCTCTTTGGAATCTTCTGAGGCATCGGGCCTTCCGGACGCCAGCAATGATGGAACCGAGCAGATTCATTGGAAAACAATATCGTACCGCTCCCATCACGCGACTGGTGACGTCTGAAATTCCTAGGACGAGTCCACGGGCGACACAGCAATCAATGAAGTCCGACCCCGCCCATCCAACTCACTCCATGCCGAATAGGACTCCGATGCTCCCCAAATCAGACATTTGAGAAGAACCCTGGCCGATATCGAGATACACTCCAGGCTGTCTTATTGTGAAATCACTCAACCAATGGAGTCTTGGTAGAAGACATCACCGGTGCGATGCTCCTCAGAGTCCCCAATTCAAGTTCATCGATTACGCAGATGTCGGAAATTCACCACGGTTGTGATGCGCAACGGCCGATTGACGACAAGCTACCCCTGGCCGAAAGCTACCAGCGATTTGTTCCAGATGAGTGCGACACATGAGGATTGACAACATACAGGCTGTGCCGAATTCTGCTTCTCATTATGCACAAGCTGGGCACATCCGCTTGTGTGAAATACAGTCGATGCTTACAGATTTCCTGCTTCGTCTGGCGTAAGCATCATCGAACTTAGCTTGCCATCAGTGCGCATGAGAGCGTACTACTATGATCAGCAAGCCACCCACCCCTACCTACCAACAGCATGCATGCTGCTCAATACAGCCCTGCCATGAGGTCGGCAACGCCTCATACGAGATATGACAGGGCGGGGAGCTTCGTGACTCCTCGGACTTCGCCCGAAACCTCTGCACTTGGATGTCGCATTCGGAAATGATGCTGGATAATTAGAAGACTGGCGAAGACTTCTATTCTGGCTGACAAGAGCGGGGTTCCAAGACAGACTGACATGGAAACAGTGATCAAACAAAACAAGCCGACTTTACGCGTAAGCGAACTGACAAGATTCCCCATTTACCTCAGAGTAGCAAATGCCATCTTGTCTTGATTGTCTTCGTTTGGTCCTCCTGGTTGTCAATCAACTCCCCAAACGCACAATCAAGGAGTCAAAGATGGAGCAATATTGATGGTAGGTATCTAAGTCGGGGGGCAAGCTAACCCCCACACAGCCCGGTCTGGGGGCGTTCCCCAGAATAGTCCTCTTGCTGACCCCAACCCATTCTGGCCTGATCTGGTATCGCAAGCGTTGGATCTTGAACCTCCAACTCCCGGATTCTCGCACTACCAAAGGCCGGGCTCAATTCTTGCAGGGCTAAGCAGCAAGATATCTCGCACTGTGTTGCAGCACCTTGGTCCAGCCGCCGGAATCTACTTACAATCCTGGTCGTTTGATGCAGTTGTTCGTACCACAACTCTTTAGGTCAAGCAAGTGCTTGTCGTGTTCAGACTTACTCTTTCGCCCTCTCTTCCGCATGGCGCGTCTGCTTGTCCCTCGTGTGATTCCAGCAGAAGTACCTTCTTGTACAAAGAGGTAAACGCATGCCGTTGGGCCCGACCTACGGGAGGAAGCATCGGGCTTCCAGCTCAAGTTGGAACTGTCAATGGCAGTTTTGGCAGACGATGTCGTTTTCTGTTTCTCACTTCCTAAGATAAAAAGATGACCGAACCCACCTCTATAAGACGAAGTTCTGGTCTTGTCTAGTCCTTCATAGGCATTCTTCTTCGGATCATACACGCCGCTGTGATTTAACTCTTTCTTGTCTTCTGTCATACTCTGCTATCTTGGTCTGCAGTCCTAGCTTGCGCTGTACAACACCACTCCTGCCGTCTGCCGTCATATCCCGGAGGCGCCACTTCTTCCACAATACTTCTAGACTGACCATGGCTCCTCACAACGATGCGCCTTCGCCGGCCGGCAGCTTCACAGCTGGCTTCAACAGGACCTCTTTCCGCCCGAACACCTCGTCGAACCTCAGAACCGGAAGCGAAGCTCCCGCCGAGTCGGATTCTCCTCTATCCAGTTCTTACGACAGCACCTCGCTCGGCGTCGATCTCAATGAGAACCGGCCGCTCGTCCCCGGGGTGTACGTCCCGACCATGTGCTTCTTCGAACCTGGTACTGAGAACGTGGATACCGACACCATTGCCCGCCATGCCGTGCGACTGGCCCAGGCCGGTGTTACTGGCCTCGCCACTCAGGGATCGAACGGGGAGGCGGTCCATCTCACGCACACTGAACGCCAGGTCGTCACGGCCACAACCCGGCAGGCGTTGAATGACGCCGGGTTCTCGCAAATGCCCATCATTGTCGGATGCGGTAGCCAAAGCACACGCGAGACCATCCAGTACTGCTCAGAAGCTTGGGCTGCTGGCGGGGACTACGCTCTTGTTCTCCCGCCCTCATACTACGCCGGTCTCTTTGCGCCGTCTTCGGAAACCATCTTTGAGTACTTCCGCGCAGTTGCGGACTCTTCTCCGATCCCGCTCATCATCTACAACTTTCCAGGGGCTGTCGGTGGGCTTGACCTCAGCTCCGACGTCATCGTCGAGTTGTCTCGGCATCCCAACATCGCCGGCGTCAAACTGACTTGCGGCAATACGGGAAAGCTGAACCGTGTCGCAGCCGCCACGAGGAAGCTGGCGAAGAATCCCGAAGCGGAAGCTCCCGAGTTCCTTGTCTTAGCGGGTTCGGCCGATTTCTCTATCCAGTCTCTGGTGGCTGGAGGGCATGGCATCCTTGCCGGATTGGCCAATATTGCTCCAAAGGCTTGCATTAGGACGATCGAGCTCTACCAGGAAGGGAAATACCAGGAGGCACAAGACATGCAGGAGACTGTCTCACAGGGCGACTGGACTGCCATTCAAGGAGGCGTTGTCGGAGTCAAGGCCGGTCTTCAAGGCTGGATGGGCTACGGAGGTGTCGCGAGAAGCCCGTTACCAAAGCCAACGGCAGAGCAGATGAAGAGTTGGAAGGAAGGGTTCCGAGAACTCATACTGCTCGAAAAGTCCCTCTGAGCAAGATGTGGTAGTCATTTGTGCGGCAGTGGTGTGCTTTGAGCGTTGTCAGTATCGGTCACTCTTCTCAGAAGTTCTCCGGTGTGACCCCGTCTCTTTGCCAGCCAAGATAACGTCTAGCAAGCGTTATGTTTGGTTGCATCTCCTATTTCAAAAGTCATCTGCGGTCCTCATTCTCATGTTTTGTTGCTGCTTATCGCGGGTACGGAATGGCGTTTGGATTCAGGTACGGATTTACATTGGGAACCCATAGGGATGTACTCCGAAAGCCAGGCCAGGATTTGGGCATTCAATGAGACTGTTGGTATCCTCCTTGAAGAAACGTCCGTGTCTGCCACGCGTGAGAAGTTGCTAACAGCATTGATGCTCAAAAATTCTTTCTAACATGCAAGGTACGTGATCCTAAAGTTTGCGCCTCATTGCCTTTCTATCACGAGATAAGATCACTGACATGCGTCGCAAACCAGGGTGGACTTGAATACACCAAGTGATCATACGCTGCAGAACTTATGGACGTGACACGACGTGCGCTGTGCCCCTGTCCATCCTCAAGTTTATTGTCTTGGGCTATTACACGAGATATCAACGATGATCCATCCAAGTGATATACGAACCGTATTTAGGCTTCATCTTACTGCCCAGTCGAGAAACTCCAAGTATGGCCTCGATGCGCCCTCACAGAACGTACCTGTTCTGCAACAACTCCCATCGTCGCAAGGGAAAGCCGCAGAATCACCCTCCCAAGTTCTGCAAGTAGCAGGACACCGCCTCTGCCACGTCAGCGAGATGCGCCCTTCTGCCGCAGGAGGCTGCATCATCGGTCAAGGGCAACGACATGACCTCTTCGACCAGTCATTGTCTCGGCATCGACGACATCCAAACCTGGGCCCGCAAACCTCTGCCGAAAGCGGTGAGCCGACAGAATGACCAAGCAACCGCAGACCTCTTCTGCCTGTGGCTCATCGCGCCAGACGGATACCTGCAGAACGGGACAGCGGCAACGCTGCGTAAACGATGCTTTCGTGCCCCCATCCCTGTTTGTGCCACGGCTGCAGCGTTGTGATTCTACACCGGCCGTAAAAGCTGCGAATGAGCGCCAAGAGAAGGCAGGTAACGGGGTGAGTATTCTTCGGGGCCGGCTAGCCGGAGAATACGGTCAAGAAGTGTTGGTATGAGAGAGGGCGTGCGCATGACCGCTGAGGCGTATGTTTTCATGACCGCCCTCCGCGGTCGTTCCAGCTCGTGATATACACGCAACCACCCGGCGCGTACCTGAATTCGATAGCGCCTCTCGCTCCTCCGAGAATCTTGATCTCCCCTGTCGAGTTGCGGCCTTTCTGCGAAGAGTTTCCCATATCCCAGGCATCCAGCCAACACGAATCTGCACGCAATATAGGGAGAGTGACACGGGAGTGCTACGGATGCTATTCCTGTCAACGCCTAGTAGGGAGTCTGACGATCGTTCCTAGAATCGAACTTACCAGCTGGAATATCGTCATGATAGCGGTCTGGAGGGCAGGCCCTCTAGGCATGAACGACGATGCCGAGCAACGATACGCGACAGTCTCCAACCAAAAGTCCTCCCACATGTTGGGTATGCCACAAGGTTGGTGACAGTACGGGAATGGAACGGATCAGACGGCACCGCTTGCTCAAGCACGACACTCGGGGTGCTTGACTTGACATCCCGCGGCTCGGGAAAAGTGATATAACTGCCTCCAATGTCCATGTCGGAAAACTAGCTTCTTCTCCAGGTAATCTTGGGAAATTATTTCACGATTCATCAACATTCACACAATGATTGTTCCACCACTCGTACTGGCCTTGAGCATCCTCGTGGCCGCGCCTTGTGCGGTTGCTGGGCTGGACGTCCCGATTGTCGGACCAAGGTCCGGTCTTGACGCGCAGACAGGCGAGGTGCCGATCAGGAGAGACATCAACAGTCTTTATGAAGAGGCAGGGCCTCAATGGTTATATTACCGTCGTACATGAGAGAGACAGAAACGCTAATACCCTGTCAGGGATCTCTATGTTGAAGCACTCACGGCGATGCAAGATGCGAACGAAACAGACCCAAGATCGTACTTTCAGATTGCAGGTAAAAGATCCTCAATCCCTCTCTCAACTGCCATCCCACTGATCATCTCTTAGCAATACACGGGCAACCATATATGCCTTGGTCGGGCGGAGGCCCGCAGTCAGGGGCAGACGCGGGATATTGTCCGCATAACGTACGGAACGCTGCCATCAGAATCCATCGAATTATGGCGGGCGTCTTGACTGACATTCTGGCAGCAAATGTTGTTTGGCACCTGGCACCGCGCCTACCTCTCGCTTTATGAGGTTTGTATATCGTAACACAAGCCGCTTGTCAGGCGAAGCTGACCCTTTCGACACAGCAAATTCTAGTAGGCCATGCCAAACGCATCGCCGCTGCGCATCCAGCGGCTTCAAGGAAGAAGTATGTGGAGGCCTCCGAAACTCTTCGTCTGGCATACTGGGATTGGGCCGACGATTCCGACGTTCCTCCCGCTACCGCAATGCCAACCGTCGTCATCAACAAAGCCGTCAACGGCACTCTTCGCCAAACGACGGTTCGGAACCCCCTTTTCAGCTACAAGTACCCCAAATCGGTTCTCAGAGGCGACTTCGGCAGATTCGACGGCAAGAACAACACGAAAAGGTGCGTCGAAGGGGGGCAGAGCTATCCCCAGACGGCCAATGGCATCATGGCAGGTTACAATCTGAAGGAGAAGGTGGTGAGTCTGAGACAACCTCATTTCACACAGATCGAAGATGAATCGCTCGGGATCTTTTTTCCCCTTTCAAAGTAGCACAGAGTCCGTTGACAAGTGAGTTACAGTACAACGTCTTTTTGAAAGCGACCAGCTTCGACGAGATGGTCTCGTCGCAGTCGCAGGGCGCCAACTTTGAAGGACCTCACGGGGAAGTCCACGTCGGGGCGGCGTGCGGCCAGGACCTCGTCTACCTCTCGACGTCAGCCTTCGAACCCCTATTGTCAGTTGATCTCAGATCTTCCCCTGATCTACCATTCGGCCTTGAGAGAAACTACTAACACAGCCCACAGCTGGCTTCATCACACCAACGTAGACCGCCTCATAGCCTACTGGCAAGCCCTCCATTTCGAGAATGCCACGATGCACTTCTCGTACCCCTCTAGCCAGCTGTTTGCCACGCCGTGGGGGACGATCACCACGCCTCAGTCGCCGATGCAGCCCTTCATTGGCAGGGACGGTCCCCTCACCAGCGAGTCCGTGACGCACATCCGGGACTGGGGGTACACGTACGCGCCCATCCGGCCGTGGGATGAGGCGCCCGGGGAGACCAAGATGGCGGTCAGCAGGACCGTGAACAGCCTTTACGGCCCGCAGCAGCCCGAGGGGTCGTTCCGGATGTCCAGGAGGCGCAGAGCGGCCCCGAGGACGGAGTACTTCGCCAAGGTTCAGGTTGAGAGGGGCGAGTTGGACTTGCCGTGTCAGGTGCAGCTCTTCTTGGAAAGCGGCTTGGCTGGTACCTTTACATTGTTGGACATGCCCACGAACGGGACGAGTTTTGAAGAGATTCCGTTGAGAAGGAGTGTTGGAACGACGGATACCGGAAGGTCTTCGGCAAAAGCGGTTCTGGATTCTGTGGGCGACGAATTGGAGGTTATCATCAAAAAGGTGAGCGCTCCTATATCCGCACACTTGAAGCAGCGAAGGAACTGACGGGTGCTCACAGCTGGATGGCGCGGAGGTTCCATTGAGCCAGGTTCCCAGTCTGAAGATTGAACTCGAGGATGTTGAAGTGATTCCGCCGCCTACCCTGAACGAACTGCCCACGCTTGGGAAATCGAGCAGCAGGTCTGCGACGGTTCGTGCCATGGCCGCCAGCCATTGAGAATCTTTTCGAGGGTTTGCGTTGTCCCAACTGCCTGTGTATTTACAGCGAGGGTGCTACTACTTACATCTGGAGATTGGATACTTGCCTTTTCCGGTAATTGTACCGTAATCAATGGTTAATGAAGCGAGGCTGTCGGTAGATGACTTGGGAATACAAAGACGGCCTGTCAAGTTTGAGAATAAGACAATATTGATTTGTGACGCGCCTTGGCTCCGTCAGGTGACGGCACCGTTTCTACAGTGTTCCCGGCGTACACATTGATCCCAGAGACACACGATGTGCGGTGCGCATGCGCAACGTCGGACGCCGGGGACCTGTCAACCAGGGCTTAGTCCTCCCCCCCCCCCCCTTCCGGCGCGACGAGACCCGACACCAGGGCGAGCGAGTGAGCCTTAAACGGCCCGATGGGATTTTCGTGGGATGACGTGTCTTACGGGCGCTTAAGTCGACGTCAGTCAGTCGGTGAGGATATTGGTGAGGCGTGGTCGGTTGAGGATCGGACTTTGGGTTGTATGTTTGGTCATGTAATACGCACGCGAGGTTGTAAGTTTCGATGAGAGCGTATGAGTCCGTTGCAAAAATATTATATCATGTCAGATAGGGTCACAGGGAATTGTGAGAAGAGAGCAGAGAAGTACTTCGGACGTTGACGTATCCTAGTCTTGAGCATCTTACATGCCCTTTCCAAGTCAGATGCTGTTGTTGTGAAGAGGAACACCAGCTTTTATAAATATCAGACCTTCACCGTTGATACGTATAAGAGAGCAAGCGGATAAGAAACATTCTCTTCTTATAAGTCTGAGCGAACACAATTGGTGAAGGTTGCGAAGCAAATCAACATCAACGACGTCATTGTCTTCATTCTAGAAGTGTTGGTTCCGGCGTGCCATGAATCACGACAGCCACATTGAACTTCCAATACTCCGAGAGAGAAGACGAGAAATGACGACGGATTATGCCTGTATAAGAAACGATATGCCAGAATACTAACCCGTCAAAATCGTATCTCTGCTGGACTAGAACCCATGGCGGTACATCTCTCCAAGCAAAACCTATACGAGAACTCAAGTGACCGATCTGGTGCCTCTGTGGTTTTTCAAATCCAAAAGCAGAAACAGCCACAGACAAGCATGAATGAAGAACAAGTAACGACTCGGCGCCTTTCTTATACTAGGCATGATTGCCTTGCAAAAACCTCAGCAAAAATCCGACATCCATCCCTAGCTGAATGAGCCATCGACTTTGCCCCGGAGCTCAATCAAAAATCCATAAAATGCAATACTCCAGACCGAAAAGGGGTGTTCCGCAGCGCGATGTTCGCTGAGAGATCAATTTCCCAGTATTGGTTGTGCTTGTATTAGGCATGGTCCAGGAATGAGCTGCGAAGTGATTCCCAGAGCTTCGAAAGCCCGCCTCTGTTAAAGCCTAGGCTGCTACGCTGGACTTGACTCCCCGTCCTCCTCCCTCCGCCATCTTTGCGTAGGTATTCCTCTTGAACACACGGCAGTCAGTGTCAAAAGGGTTTAAGTCGTCATGAGTGTAATCGCATTGAAATTCATGGATGCGAGCGAGTATCCAAGTTGTGTGGTAGCTTCCTTGGTACTGTGGTTTCTACAACATAGCGACCCGGCTGAATGCATGAAGAAAATCCGGAGAAAGCGACCATCTCAACGCTTAAATAGCTTTTTTGCGAAGAAATAAAACCGGCGATTTGGGAAATATGAGAGGCCGCATCATCAGGAGGTCAGCGTTATTAAATCAAATAACACGACAGGCAAGACTTAGATGACCAACCTGGTGGTGCTTTAGATCTCAGCGCAAAGCCACTGCCCGCGCCAGACTCCTTGTGTCTCCCTTCTCCATCTCTATATGAGTATTCAACTCAAAGACACAACAGACAAAGCACTAAAGATATAAATTGTGTGTTCAATGAATTTTGCAAAGCGTGGATACGGCTGGACATCACCTCACACCTTGAACTGAGCGCACTCCCTCCGGCACCTGTTCTAGCCCTACGTTACAGTGGACTTAGTACCGTCACAACTCAGAGCGCCGTGCTTTATAAAACTACACACAACGCAGTTTCATTAAAACTTAAATAGCTTGGTGAATAACCAGGACTAGTCCTGTGTGAATGCGGCATGCTTTGACGTTGAGGCTCGTCATCACGTGTACGCATCTCGTTGCGGTGTCATGAGTAGGAGTGGTCAATCCCACAGAGCGAGTATCCCATATAAAACACCAGCACGTAGCTCAAGTCCAGGTCCTTTTGGTCCAAAGATGGGGCTGATTCGGGAATCAATATATTAAGCTCAGCGGGCGAGAAGTCCTGTACCCAGCCACTAGGCCAGGAGACATAGAAGGACAGCGTTCACAAGTAGAGATACAAAGACGTTGAATGCAACATCCCATCTATTTATCTCTAGTTGGTGCTAATCCTAACTCATTTGAATCAAATACTCAGAGAATGAGATTGTTAAGATCGCGTAGTGGTGCTTTAAAGACGGTCGTGAATCCTACTACTGCTGGGAAGCAATCTCACTTTGATGACACTGTCCGCCTCTGTTTTGAATGGTGCTGCTTGCGCGCTCAGGAAATTCTCACAAATCAGATCCATACCGGCACAGATATAAGGACGGAGCGTGTGGCCTCATGACCCTTCAAAGTCTCAGGGCAGTTGTCCAGTACCTGTGTCCGACATCTTCTTTGCCTGATTTAAATCACGACAAGACTGGTGCGTTGCGGTAAAGGCCAGCAGTGACAAAGTGAACAAACACGACACAAAAGGTCAAGAATAAAGCCGGTGACAGGCGTTAATGATTCTTACATGTATGTACAAAACAAGCCCTAATCCTATCCTATCCTACCTATCCCTGTCCAATCCCTCTCTCATTCCTCCCAAACTCCAACCCAGTAATCCAAACCCTGGCATCCTCTGCCCTGTGTGCCTTGTAGTGTAAGGCGCGAGAAGGGACCCTTCTGTAATCGTCTTCGAGCGGCGGTTGACGTCCTGTCAAACCCTGTATCAGCTCTATGCCCATTGCCCCCCTTTTCCCAGCCGTAAAGAGCAAGGGCAACCTACCTGTACATAAAATTCCCGTCCAATGCAACTCCGATGCTATGCAGAGAGAAGGGGCGCAAAGTATTTCCCAATCGCTCCATCTATCTTACCCACGCACTTATCCATCCACCCCGAAGCGCCAATCGGGAAAACGCCACTTAAACAGATCCCGGAAGCAAGAAGAGCGAATTTGCTCTAGGGGTGACCAGTCTACGCCGTGCGGTCATACGTCCGCTCGTCAATCAGCCTCCTCCCGCTCCCGACGTTCCCGTACAGCATCTCCATGAGCTTCCCCTTCTGCCTCGTCCTCACGCCCTCGAGGTACCCGCCGACGTCCTCGAGGCCCCTGATCTGGTCCTCGAGGGTGAGTGTGCTCGAGTTGACGGACCGGACGAGGGGGCTGACGAGCTTGCGGCGGAGGTTCTCGAGGTTGGCCTTCAGGGCCATGAGCTTGCCGTTGTGCTCGACGAGGACGCTCTTGTTGCGGACCGTCTTCTCGCGGACGTTCTGCAGCAGGAGGCGGTTGCGCTCGTACTTTGCGACCTCGGCCGAGTTGGGGCCTAGGATGCGCGTCCACAGGGAGGAGAGCAGGTCGGCGTGCTGGTCGTCCTGGGCGGAGGCCTCGCGGACGACGGTGCGGGCGAGGTTGAGGAACTGGTGGTCGATGGCCTCGAAGAGGGCGAAGAGGGCGAGGGAGTGCTGCAGCTCCGAGTTGATGGCGTCCTCGAGGACGGTGAGGAACTCGTTGAAGGTCTTCTGGAGGGTGAGGCGGGTGCGCTGCGGGTTGGACATGCCGAAGACGTAGGTGGACAGGGAGCCCAGCCTCGTCGGGGCGCCGACGGGGTCCTCGAGGACGCCCGTCTGGGAGAGGATGTTGTGGATGTTGTCAAAGGCGGCGGTGAAGGAGGAGGACGGGAGGTGCTGGACCTGGGAGAGCTCTCTGCGCGCCCAGTCCATGACGAGGAGGATGCCGTCGATGTCGCCGTCGACGTTGGCGAAGAACTTTGTCAGCTCGATGGCCAGGGTCTTGAGGCTGTCGCTGAGGTCGTCGAGCTCCTTGACGATGATGGGCGCCGAGGTCATGTTGCTGGAGCGCACGCTCTCGCCGAGGTCCCAGACGGCCACGCCCGTGGCCTGGAGGTCGCCTACTTGGGATGCGCCGTTCTCGGAGAAGTAGATGAGCGGCTCGAAGGAGCGCGCGATGCCCGCGACTTTGACCAGGTCAGGGACGGGCTGCTGCGTCGCTGGCTGGAAGAGGTTGCGCGTGGCGCTGATGGCGAGTACGGCGACGAGAACAGATAGAATAGTAGACGCCCAGGAGTGAGTGACGAAGCGCCATTTTGAGCGGAAGAACTCGACGACGGCCTCAATTGGCTCGGTCCGCTGCTGGACCTCCGCGCGCAATGCGAAACGGATATCTGGACGGGTGTTAGTCGCATTGTCTGCACTCGCCACACGCAGGACGCCTACAATTCTCCTGATTCAAAGTACCTTCCGACGGACTCGTCTCCTTCCAGGGGATCTCGTCCAGCTTAATCGTAGTGTTGTCTATCTTGGGCACGGGGCTCGGCGAGCGGCCCTTATCGGGACTCATGCTGCCGGTCGGCAACCTCGTGCGGATAGCGCGGCGCAGGACATCCTCGTCCTCGTCCTCGCTGTCGAACTCGGGGCTCAGCTCTCTCTGGCCGAACAGCCTCCGGTTCGGGGGGAAGCCGCCGAGGATGTCCTCACTCCGGCGCCAGAAGCCGCTGTCGCGACTCCCGTTTCCGAGGCGGCGCCAGGCCGGAGGACTGTAGCCACCTGCGGAGACTGAGTTTTCGGGGTCCGGGCCCAGGTCGCTCTCCGCGTCCATCTCGGAGCGGAAGCCCGAGTGGTGCGACGGGTAGCCGAACAAGGGCGTTCTCGTCTGTCGGTTCGGGGGCGGGGTCGTCGGCTCGAAGTCGCCCAAGGATGCGTCTAAGTGATCGAGGGGATCGAAGGTCGTCGGGTGCGGCGGAGGCGGCATAGCTGCCATCATATTGTTGGCGCTGATGTTGTTGTTGGAGGCGGTGACTGCGTCGGGAGAGTGCGCCGCTTGCTACGGCGGGCGGCGCGGGCAGGGCCTTATAAGTCGGAGGTGGCGGGAGGGCCTGGAGGGCCTCGACGTGACGATCGTGTAAGGAGGTGGTCTTGGTCGCAGTCGCACGACTTGTGCGCTTGAAGTAGCTAAAGTTGGGGACCAGGGTCGGCTTCCAGGAGATTTGGACTAGGTAGAAGTAGATGAAGAAGAAGGTTAAGGTGAGGGTAGCGACGTATGTGCTTGGAGCGATGGTGATGCTCAGCAGGGAAACGTTGTTGTTGACTGTGACCAGCGACGGCATGGAAAGCATATCAGCTGGTCGAGAGGTATCGCGCGGGCGCTCACTCCCTCTCTTGCGGTCGCAAGTTGGATTGCGACAAGTGAAGGTCGAAATAGACTGTTTGCGCCTCTTGAGATAAGGTACTTTGGTTCACGTATGCGGGATGCGCCGGCGGTCGGGAAGCGAAAAGAGAGAGTAGTAGTGGTAGATAGACGGTGTGAGTGGGTGATGGATGGGTGAGGTGACAGTTCGGGCCGTCAGGGTCAGGTATCAGCCAGGCGGTCGAGGTCAATGAATGGGCGCAAAGTATGAGAGTTGGTAAGAGCGATGTGAGTATGAGTATGAGTCGCAATAGTAACAAGAGTATTGGTATAATTTGGATGTTTGATCTAAGGTAAAACGAACCCAGCGGCTGGGTATCACACAAGATGAGCGTCGCTCAACGGGGTGAGAATCGAGTGGTGGTGAGTGACCTGAGAGGGCCGCAGGAAGCATAAAAAAGCGGGAAGAGATGCAAGAAGCACGACGGCATCCAATGCCTTTCGAAGGAGGGGGGGGGCGAGGGGGAGGGGAATGGAGGGGGGATAAGGTACAGAGGAAGGTTGCTCTTATTCCATCTTCACCCACAGCGACTGCACTCTCGTTCTATTGCGTTTGGCTTGCGCACCCACCCGCTTTTTCATCCCGTACCACTTCCACTTGCACTTGCACTTCCACTTCCACTTCCACTCCCAGTCGTGCTTGCACCTTGCGACGAGTTGAATTCGAGAGGTTGGGGAGCTCCCGTACCCACTTGCCAGGTTTGAGCCCACGCACCAATCACAGGCGGAGGCTGTCAAGGGAGGGGCCGAATCTCAGGCCCTGGATTGGGTGGAGTGGAGACGAGACGCCGGACCTGGACGTCAGAGCAAGGAACCGAGGTACGTACCCCTCCTTAGTCGTTTCGTCCCTGCCTTACTGCGGTACGGAGTACTTGCCAGTTGCCTCGCCCTCGACCTTATCCGTACCTCGAGAGGAACTGCGCACCGGTTCCCTAGACACGAGACAATTCTGAATGTGAATGGCATTGTTGGACAGGGCGAACAGGGACCATGTCTCAACTTCCATTCTTTCTTGCCCGTCTATTCCTGGATTTCCAGCACGGCGCACAACAATTTCCCTCTCCATCTATCCCTCCGAACAATCGCGTCGCGCGTTGGGCAACAACACACTGTGACGCGCATGTCCCTCGAACGGTTTAAGTGGTTGCATGTCTCGGTCACGGGACCGATGGCGAGACGAGAACGGCAAGGCGGGGTTCTGCCGCGACGCAATGTAAACAAACAAGACGACTTGCTCGGGACCATCCGATTCGACGACGACACCATCGACACACGAAACGGAGAGGCGAGATCCCTTTTTCGGGTGCTTATTTATTATCATCTTCTCGTTGCAGAGTAGTCTCTAAATGGCCTTCCCAAAACACATACACACACCTTCTCCCTCCTCCCTATCTGCCCTCATTCGTGACTCTGTCCAGTGTCTGCCCTGAATGGAAAGAGGGAAAGAGACGTGGGCCCACAGAGGGAGGGACGAACTGAGGTGAGCTGGCCCCAATCAACGAGACTGATTTATCTTATCACCCCGCACCGCCGGTCCACTCACCGAGCCCGTCGCCAAATCAACCGCACTCACGCCTCAAGGGTCCCTCCCCCTCCTCCAGTGTCTCCCCTTCCCTGCAGATGCCCCGTCGCTCACGAGGTGTGACTCCCGTCAACCCATTCTGACTCCCGTTCTTTCTGTGACAAACGCCTGCTCTGGTTCAAGGGTAGGCATAACCGCTCTTCTTTGCGTTATGCAAGCGATCAAGGTGCATAAGCACGTCAGTCAAGTCCACCCCGTCGACATCATCTAACTCCCTCTCACATACTCAACCACATGCTCTGGACGTGCCTTCTTGAACGAACGGATTCGAGGATAGGAATTGTTTCTGATTTTGTTTTTGCTATGCCGCTTTCGTAGAAAGACTTCCAAACTCCGCTAGGAAACAACAAGAGACACCACTCGTGGCTCATGTCTACCTTGACCCAAGCTCCTCTCCCCATCTCCAAGGACGTGTATGTGCCATGTGTCCAGGCCCAGAACAGCCGCCCGCGATGGCTGGGACAATTGAACAAAAGATAAGGAAAAACCTCGCCCGTCACGTGCTGTGCCTGCGGCTCTGTTGGTCAGGCTGCAACTGGGCCACCATGTCCGCCGACGATCCTGTTCTTCTCGCACGGGAGAATAATCCTGAAAGCCTGCGCCTCGGCGCCGACGGCTTCTAGTCAACCTTCGCGTTGGCTAGGCTTTTCGCTCCCGGAGTGTGAATCATGTTGACCTGTTTTACTGGTCTCTTGTACTTGCTCTGTTTCCGCAAGCGTTTGCGAGCAACCATGACAGGAACAGAGCTCTTGGTCACTAGGTAGTTCGAGAACGATCCTAAGATGACGCTGCGCAATGTGTTAGCATCGTAAGCAACCACTAGTTTTGCGGAAACATACCCCTTCAGTGCACTGCGTCCACGGCTACCCAGAATCACCAGAGTAGGGTTGACCAGGTCGATGATCTCGGTAATCAGGTGTTTGGGGTTCTTGCAGTGCAGGACCTCCACAATCACCCGCACCTGAAGTCTAGTCTTGCGCAGGAGCTTCGTCACCCGCTCCGTGATGTCGTTGACGGCCCGATATCTCTCCTCCTCCGCTCGGTCACGCTCCCGACTGGACGGCGCCGGGGACGGCGTGTTACGCGATTCACTGCTCAACGCCGAAGCACGGGTGATAGACGGGAACGACGGAGCAGACGACGTTGGCGGCGGCGTCCTCGAGTTCGAAACAGCGTTGATGGCGGCGGCCTGCTCCTTATGCGCCTTGGGGTCGTCCGGCACCATTACCCCGTCCGTCGAATAAATGCCAGTCTCCTCATCCACGCAGTACATGCAAATGAGGGTGTCGCCATCTCGAAGCACCGTGCCGATGGCCCATTCCAGGGCATGAGTCGACTCGTCGCTGAGGTCAGTCGCCACAAGGTACTTTCTCAACCTATGATGCTCCTCCTCGGCGTTCTTCTGGATGTTGTCCCACTCTCCGCGGTAGAAGGTGAGAAGCGTCCTGGAATGCTCGCTCTGATTTCGGACCTCCTGATACCGGAAGGCTAATCTCTGTGCCCGCTTGATATCCGTGAGCGCCTCCTCGTCATCAGAGTTGACAGCTGAAGCCGGGCCTGACCCGGGGCCCTGGTCGAATGCCGTGGTGGGATGCACGCTGGGCTTAGACGGTTTCGTCTTCTCGCCTGTGGGGGTCGTGAGAGTGATTTGCGGGTCGTCCAGCAGTGACTTGTACTGATACTGTGGCCGCTGGGAACTAACTTCGATGCCTGCCAAACGTCAGCCACGATGCGAGCACGCAGTGTGGGCAAAACTTACGCTCTTCCTCCGCGGCCGCCAACAAACTCAAAGTCTTGCGCTCGCCTTTTTCACCAGCGGGAGACTTGCTGGCGCTGTCGTCGGCGCGCGGGGCCATCTTACGACCTCTCTGTTCTTCGTCCGAGTAGCTGTTCTCATCATCGCTGCTCTCCTCAATCTCTTCTCCGTCAGGGCTAAGATAGTCTTTGACCAATCGACCTCCGTTTCGATCGACGGCGTTGGACTTTTTACGCATGGCCAGCTCTCCCAAGTTGCCGCCCGAGAAGGCCAGGTTGGCATCGGAGAGTTTGCGATAGGCGGTGGAAATGTCCACAACGCGGCCATCGTCCAGCACGGCAGTTCCTGGGATCTGCTGGAAGCGACCACTGACGTTGGGAGACGGGGAACGCATGCCAAATCTGCCGTGAGGAGACTTGGACTTGCTGTTGTGGCCCCTACTCGAGCTTCTAGCGTTTCTGGGAACGGGGTTGGAGGCGATAGAGCCGTGTCGGGCCCTGTCTCCCGGCAGGACGATACCGGGTATCTCGTTGCCTCGCATGACATCGGCCATGGCGGAGGGCTTCTTGCCAGCTTGCGTGTTGCGCTTCGGCATGGCTTGTCCGATGTTGTTAGTAGCAATATCGGAGAACTGGTAGTCTGTGGGATCCAGGCGGTTGATGGGAGCGCGCGGGCCGAAGTTGGGCTTTGGGCCTGAGTGAGAGTCGGAAAACGTCCTTGGATGAGGTGCGCGAGACTCTACGGGAGAGCTGGGGCCAGCGCTGGCGGCCTGTTTGGGGGCAGAGGTGTCGATATCCAGCATGCTCCTAACTGGGGCTGGAGGAACGTCGATATCCAGCATGCTGCGCATCGGGACTACGTTGGTCCTGGCTGGGCTCTTTTTCGCGGTGCTATCGCCAATGTCCAGCATGCTCCTCACGGGGGAGCGAGGGGAGGTATAGGGCGAGGGCGAGCGTGCAGAGACGGGAGAGTAGCTGGGTCGGGCGGCATTACCCTCGAGCAGGGCCAGCACATCTCTTCTCTCCTCGTCCAGCATGGCCTCCATGCTCATGGGTTGGTGGCGCGACATCTTGAGTGATGTCTCGAGTGGTTCTGCGTCTTCGGCGGAGCGGGGGTACGGATTCGTGGGAGAATCGTAGGACTCTTTGATCGTGTCGCCTCAGCGGAAGAAGGACGGGGACAAGTGGTTGCGGTGATGTCGTTTTCGGTAATAGGTGTTTGTACGGTATTCGAATACGGTAATTGGGTTGGGTATCGGTAAGATGCTGTGTATTCAGATCTAACGGGGAATGATCTTGCGATGTTGACGTGGGCGGTGCAAGTTGTTCAGCAGAAACAGCATCGTGTAGTAGCAGGCAAAGGCGAGGAAGGTCGGCGGGTGTTTCTTAGATCATTGCTCCTGGGGGGACCAAGACGAGAAATACGGAGGGTTTCGCTTTGCGGAGGGCGGAGGCCTGTTTTAGCTTGTGAAGCACGACCTAGTCAGACTTGCCAAGACCAACGGTGGAAAGTGAGAGCAGGAAAGCAGAAGAAGATGTTGGGTTGAAGGGGAAGGGGAAGATGAAGGCGGCGCACGACACACAAATGGTAGTAGTGGTGGTGGGACGGCAGCAACAGGCAGTGAATTAGTTCAAGCCTAAGGTCGCCGCTGAGAGACTGGGAAGGTGGAGAGCGTGGGAGGGAGAAGGGTCGTGGTCACGGTCGGGTGCAGGCCCGGTGGAGTGAGGAGGGATCGGGGAGGGGTAGGTGCTCCGTTTTTAGCGTCCCTTCTGTTCAACCTGATGGCGGGCACCTGAACCCAACTCGACACCATCTTCCTCCTTTCCAGCAAGCAGATGCAATTTTTTTATCAATACTCCAAGGCATTGGAGACGGCGAAGACGTCAACAGCAACCATAACTATATTCCAAAAAGACGACAACCGAGCATCGATTTGCCTCGAGAGCTGATGTAATTCAGTCTCCCGCTTATCATCAACAAACAGCACGCTGCAGACCGCAGTGAACCTCAGTCACAGTGCCTGAATTCAATCTTCCGGGGTCTGACATTTGCTGTGGAGTTTCCGTCTCCAATTCCAGCCCAGCGTCACAGTCCAGCCCAGCCCCGTTGGGCCCTCCTTCCAAGAGATTTGGGGCTTTCAGAGGCCCATCTCTTCCCCAGAGCTGAAGAAGATCAGCCACCGAAACTCCTCTTAGATTTGAGAGACGGCTTGCTTCGTCATCCAAGTCTTGGGACCTGCCCTCTCTGGCACCCGGTGAGATATCTCCCCAAGAGATGAGACGGGGACTTGCATGACAGGTGACAAGGCACAGGACAAACCAGCAAATAAGCAAAACTCAACCGAAAGATGGGATGTTTTCTCACGCGACGATCGAGAAACGTCCCAAAGGACATGCATGTCATGACCACTCAGCCGCCGCCTCACAGACACGCCTCTTTTTCTTTCACAAAGGGTGTCTTGAAGTCGGGAGGGTACGTACCGCCATCTTAAAACAGAACAAAAATAACGACCGGGAAAAAAAAAACACCTGAGATCTGGGGAACCACCTGACTGAATGTCTCAAAAGTCGAATGAGATTGGACTGCTTTCGTCTCATAGTCGCCTTACGATGATCTGTAACAGCCAGGAACAAGAATGGAAAAGATGAAAGAACGATCTGAAGAGATTCAACTCAAACAAACCGCCATCTGGAAACGTACCCTCGGCTAAGACAAACAAACAACGATTCGAATCACTCGACACCGCCGCACACGTGTAGCATTGTGGGTGTTCTTCCCAATCCGATCCAACCCGCAAAGTCGGTGACGCACTCTAGGTAATCCACAATACCTAATTTTCACTTGATTTTTTCCCTTCTCGTGCCTTTCCCATCCTTACACAACCCACGGGTCCCGCCCGTCCTCACCACTCATCACGCCTTACCTTACCCGCGGCCCCCGTCCGGAGCGCCCCTCCAAAACATCCTCCGTACTTTGCCGGCGACGGCGGCGACGAGGAGGGGCACGACCAGAAATCCGCCGGGGTCACACATCACGCACTGTTCAAAAACACGACATTGAAAAAACACCCGAACAAGTCACAGTGCATGGCCAAACGGTGCGATGACGACGCCGGCGTGCATTGCCAAGAACACCCGGCCTCTTGGCACCCTGTACACCGTGCACGGGCGCTGGCGACAAGCCGGCCCATCGGAAAGATGGTCCCACGGCCGGCCGTCTTGGGCGGGCGGCGGGTGGCCCCCTCGAAAATGAAACGCCGCCCGGTGGTCATCATTGCGACCTCTTTGCAGAGAGGCGACGGCGGCTGTGCTGCGCTGTCCGTCACATGGCGCCTTTTTAGACTTTATTCTTCTTGTTTGTTTATTGCGGCTCTGGGAGGTGGCCTGCAAGTGGTGGCTGAGCCAGTGATTGGCGTCCGCTACCAGCCCGCCATGAGTCCATCTCCTGGGTCCAACAGTGACTTTGAGAACCTTTTGGATTCTTGAGTGAGATCTCCAAGATACACATCTCGCGTGGTAACGGGTTGTTGATATCTATCTGACGCCATCCATGACGCAGTCATCAAGCCAAAGCTGGCCATCAATGATTGAATGGAGCTCTACTGAAAGTTTGAGGTTCCAGCATATTCAACACACTCACAAGGTGCTGATAATCTCTTGCCCGTCCACACAACAACTTATAGGTTCAATCGTGATCCATTTCGATTATCGCGTGATCGCAAAGCCCCCTTCATCTCACCAAGAGCAAGCCACTCCGCTCTCTCACTCATTCACAGAAGGCTCCTGTCGAGCTCTCTCGCATTGGTTGAGTTTGATATAGTACAATATACAGCTTTACCACAACACTTTTCCCCCCATCGCCTCGCCTCGCTCACTCGCTCACTCGCCCTTATTTGCCCTGCTTCACGGGCTTGACGCCCAGGTTGGCACGCGTGGCCGTGCCGAGCTTGTGCAGCACCAGCCGCTTGTCCCACACGGGCGACCTGCCCTCGACGACGGCGACGATCTCCTCGGCCAGCCGGTGCGCGAACTGCGTCCGGCCGGACCCCTTGGAGGGCTTCTTGTTGACCACGTCCAGCACCCACTGGAAGGCCATGCGCCGCCTCTGGCGCACCGCCAGGGGCGCGGGCAGCTCGAGCGGCCGGCCACCGCCGGCGCCGCCGGGGATGCGGCGGATCTTGACGAGCGGCGCCACCGAGTCCACGGCCAGCGTCATGTATAGCACCGGGTTGAGCGGGAGGTGGGCCGGCGGCGGGGCGCCGGGGAGGAGCGGGAATCGCGGGTTGATGATCGGGGGAGGGGATGTGCGGAGGAAGTTGAGGACCATGGCCATGTTCTGTCCCTCTGTTAGCAATTCCACTCGGTTCTTGAAAAGAAGCATCATCTGAAGTAAAACGTACCCTTTGCGCCAGACTCTTCTTGCCGTCCCGCATCATCAGGTTGGTCAACTGGTCGAGCACGGGGTGATACCGGGACTTGAGGTGGCTGTGCGGCGGGAGGGGCAGCGAGGGCAGCGGGAACTTGTGTCCCCTGTTTCCTCCTCCCGAGATTTCCATCTGCCCAAAGGGATCCTGCAGCTCGGCGACGACGCCGCCGGCGGCCATGATCTCGAGTTGGCGGATGGGGTCGCCGTTCGCGGGCGTCGGGGGGATGACGCCTTCTTCGTAGTACGCCTCTTCCTGGGCCTCGGTCAGGCCGCCCTCGGGTCTCTCTGCTGCGGCCGCGTCGATGAGCATGTCTTTCGCGGCGTCGGCGTCTTCTTGTGTCCAAGCCTCGGTCTCGCCCTCGCCCGTCTGTAGTTGCCCGTTAGCATTCTGTTTCCATATCCACGGTTTTCCTCTCATCGGAGTCAAAGTGAATGTGCGATGGGCTAGTTCAGAGTTGCACAAAAGTGCTTTGTTCGGTCGTCATATAGCAGGGTCTTAAGCTGCCTCTGAAACACGGACCAATGTTTCTCATCATGTTGTCGTCTGTTGCCCAATTGGGCGATATCCGAGGAAATAATGACAGTATGAACCGTACCTGATTTCTCGCCGCCGCCGCATTCTGTGCCTTAGCAGCCGCCGCCGCAGCACGCTCCGCCTCGGAAGCGGCCCCGAGTTTCCTGATCGCCGGAATCTCACCAGCACCGGCCTCGTCCGCGTATCCTCTTCTCGTCGTGGCCCAGGCCAAGGGTTCCCGTCTCGAGGCCGCCGCCGCCACGGGCCGCGACCGCAGCGCGAGCGCCCGGCATGCTGTGCGGAGGCTCGGCCGCAGAGACATGGCTGCTCTGTGTCTTTCTCTCTCTTTCGAACTGCCGAGCAGGGGAGAGGGCCGTCGGACGACCAATTGAGGTGGGTGGAGGGGGGTGGGAAAGTCGACGGTCGTCGGGATCGTGGGTTTTTGGTATCGCAGCGAGTTCCGTGTTCACGAAAATTATTGATTCGCGCGGGATTTGCCGCTCCACTCGTCCAAGGACGTTGCACGGACCAATTCGATTGGGACGGGCCTGGGCTGCCCGGGGGTCGACAGCTCTGTCCGGATGAAAGGTATTTCCTTTCGCCGACAAGAGCTGGAGCTTGGGCCATCAGGTCCCCGCCGTCCCCCCGGCCCCGGTCGAATCGGGACGGGCCCGTGCCGCGCACCGAACGACCTCCACCTCTACATTACCTAAGCCACATTCCGTAGTCCGTCACCCGCCGTCGCTGCAATCCGTTTTATCTTCATCACACCCCCGACGCCGGAAACCCCTCCTCCATGAAAGTGGCTTGCAGAGAGAGAGACACCACGCCTGTCACAAGACAGATGATTCCTCTCTCCCTAGAAGCCGCCCACGATCCGCTCAGTTCTCATCCGAAATACCCTCACAGAAGACGCCATCAGCATCTGCCACATGTCTTATCCCTTCCCCTCCCCCCGCTTCTCCTTCTCCCTTGGGTTCGACGGGCTCGTCACTTGCATGTGCTGTCTCGTTGACACGCGCATGTTGCATGTGTAAGGAGACGCAGAAAAGACAGCCGCCGTGCCAAACACAACTCACGCCTGAAGGACCGGACCAGAAACCAGATTATCCCCGATCTCGTCAAAACAACGCCCCTCGCCATCGACCTATCTCAATCCCCAATCCCGCCCACATTCTACACACTTTCTCGTCACAGTCGCACCACAAACCACAACCAAGACAGAAACCCCTCCTGCCCGGCCCCCCCTCCCCCTCCACATGCACAAAATCCTCACCGGGGAAGTCCTCCTCGGTCCCTCACTCGCTCGACCCGAAAACCCCTCTCGCTGCATCTTGACCGAATAGGCCAGAGACATTTTTCACCGAGGAGGAGGAGGGGGGGTTTCATCGGCGTGATCAACCGCTGCTGCTGCCACGCCTGCAGCGGGTTCAATGTGGTGCAGACACACACACTTTCTCCTGCAGGTGATGATGGGTAAATCAGCCGCCAAATTTGTCCCAGAACCTCCAAAGATTCCCGTGCACTCTCGTTGACCTGTAACGTTTCCCTTATCTCGACTCACAATATGCTACCATGTCTTTCCCCCGTCTCGAAAGCCGAGGAGATACTCCCCGGATTATCATTTCCATCTGACACTACCTTACCTCACCTCAGGCTGAAGTAGGTAAGGTAGTCAGGCTAGCAGCTGATTCAGCTCAGCAGCGCCTTTCTTTCGCGCCCGCGCTGGGTAGTGGGTACCGTACCTACCTAGGCACCTTAAGATAATAATTTAGGTCGGGCTGGATTCGCCTGCTGCAGCGACTTGGACGGGCTGGGGACGGGGGGCAGGGGGCGTGGGATCTGCCGCCGTCCCGTTGTTAGCAGACATCCCTAGCTCCCCGTATTTTTTCTTCTTTCCTTAATTCTGCTCTCGCCCTCGAAGCCAGGGGTGTGTGTCTCTTCCTCTCTCTCACTGCGCCGACACCACTTCCACCTCCTGCATTGGTGATAGGCACCGCCGAAGAAGATGTCATCGTGGGGGAAAAGTCAGCCAGGGAAAGAAAAAGTCCAAAAAAATGTGGTGAAGCTTCCAACGTTCATCCCGCCCTGCCATGCCAATCGCCACGCCCCCTCAATTCCCCTGCCTTCTGGTTGTCCAGCCCGCATCGGATAGGGCCTACCGTTCGTGTGAAGCGGCTGATGGGTGCCTCTGTTAGTCAAAAGCTTCGATGATTGTTCTACGATAACGGGCGGGATGAGAAGGAAAGTGAGTCGAGGGGTTTGATGCAGATGCGAGTCGCATTGGGAAGAAGTGGGGAGAGCATCACCAGTTCGACCTGCACGAGAAGAAGAGGAAGAAGAAGAAACCATGTCCCATCCCGTTAGTCCTAACATCTCTCTCGTAGAATTTGCGAAAAAGGGCAACAAGCCATGCTTGGATCGACGCGAATCTGTTCTAGCTTTCCGAATTCCCGCCCACTCTTATCCCTTGTCCCTTTCCATGGTTGCTTTTTCCCTTTCATAACGCCGCTTCGAAGAGGGGGGAAAAAAGAACAATTTTCTTTTCCAAATTGCAACATACAAATTACTTTAGCAAGGGCAGCCTCATAGCGCCCTCTGTAGTATCCCCGTTTCCCCCCTCCCAAAAAACAAAAAAAACTTGCCCTAGTGACCGTCGACTGTCTGCCGGTCTTGTTTCGCCAAGGTCCTGTCTCGTGTCGGAGTTTCTTCTCCAATTCCCTGGTCCAAAAAAGAGAGAAAAAAAAAGATGGCAAAAGAAAAATAAAGCTCATCTCATGGAGCTTGATGATGATGCAAAAGGGAACAGAGCCTTGTGCACCAGCCACGAACCCCCCCCCCCTTGATTTGGCCTGGTCGGAATTGCGCCGTTTCTCTTGCCCAGCCAGCTCAACACCAGTCGGTATTGTTGTCCCCGCGTTCAGAGTATACCAATCTGGAACCTTTCGTAGAAATGTAGTATCAGTTGTTGTGCGCCGATATCCATGGTGGTCCCTCCCCCACCTTCTGCCGTGTGGCAATGGCCGTTGTCTCCCAATCCCAACTCCAGGTGTATTCGTACAAGTAGACAGTCGAATAAAAAGGATCAGGAAAGCAGCAAAATCATAGTGTCGCAGAGTAAAAAAAGGACCAGAGTTTCGATGTGCGGCGCTGGACGGAGATGCTTCGCTCGCTGTGATGTCGTTCGCTGTGTGCCAAATGGTTCGGTGTTTCGTTTTCGCACGCCTTCTTGCCCATTGTATGCCGCTGTCGCTTACCAGCTGCCCCTGCTGTTGGCGGGTGAGCTGGGGTTCGATCCGGTGAGGTAGTTCAGGGCCATTTCGGCCGCGTCTTCTTTCGCATTGTTGAGGTTCTTGCCGTCGTACCAGAATCGTGCGGAGAGGGTGCGTCCGTGGACGGTGACTCGACTGGACCAAGCCGTACGGCCGCCTGTGACGAGGTTCAACAGTTAGTTACACCGGTGTGAACACGGCGGGGTTCTTGAGCATCGAAGCTTACCACGTCGATCAGAAACGATCTGGAATACCGGGGGGAGGATGTTTGCCTCGCGGCATGCGTCTGCCAGCCATTGTTTAGCTTCATTATTCTGCGGTGGGATGTGGTGGCGTCAAACCTTCAAGACGCTCCTGCCAGGTTCCCGCTTGACTGTTGTACGAGGAGGCAGACATGGTGGCGGTGGACGAGTAGGACGTGTTGGAGTACATGTAGTGCAATGTTGAAGGGACAATTGGGAAGCTTGTTGAGGGTATTCGTATGTCGCGGTGATTGAGGGCTTTGGAGTGTGTGGTGGTCGGTTGGTACGGTGGATATCTCGAGGGAATATATGGCGAGACTCGGAAGTTCTTATACTCGGATCAGGTAGGCCGTGATACGAATGGGGATATTCCCATTGGGGTGGAAAGATTGTGATGTGGCAGGACAAGATTAGCTAGATGATGTCCTGAGAGGCAAGGAATTGTTTGCACAACAAATGGTAGACGACGGGGACGACGGAAAGGGATCAGTTGGGCTGGTACCCTACGGCATGCTGCATCTTGGGATGGGTGAGGTGGGAGGAGAAAAGGAAAGGAAGAGGAGAGAAAACGGGCATGATCCAAAGAAGTAACGACACAACATCGCATCCCAACGCCGTTTGGGTTTGGTACGGCAGGACCGCGTCTTGACCTGCGTCGTTTCTTTTTTTTTTCTCTTCTTCCATGCCCTGGTACTTGTCTCTGATGAGCGGCGCCGGCGGCGGACAGGAGGAGGAGGAGAGAGGGGTGTGCCACTTGGGTGTGAGTGCTTCGTTCGTCTGATGCCGACGTGGGGAGTGTGGTACCGTGCTGGGCCGGCAGAACGTCGTGATAAACTTGTGTTTTTAGCGTCATAATTTTTGGTTATTCTTCTCTGTGCCCTCCTCGTCGTCCTAGGAAATTTCCCTCTCGTTTCTTTTTTTTCACACCCCTGGCAGACAAATCCTAGCTGTCGAGCCCCCGCGTGGTCAACCGGTACATGGGTGCCGACGTCCATGGGTTGATGAACAAGCAGCTGGGAAACATGGGCTTGGAGACTTGAGACATGATGGGATAGCTCCAATGTCATAGGTAAGGTGAATACCTCTGGAGCCTCTGGAGGGAGACGGGAAATGGCCGGAGCAGCTGATTGGGGATTGACTTTGCTAGGCTCCCTTACCCGGCTGCCCGGGGGGGTCCAAGGCCAAACAAAGCTGGCGTGGAGTGCCGACCCGTCGGGGTGGAAGAGGGAAATGATTGGGGAGCTTCAAGCCGCAAAGACCAGGGCCCATACATGAGAAGACCGGGGGGAGGGTGTGGATGGACTGACGAAGGGCGGCGAAGAGAACGACTGAAGCCAAAGGACAAACGGTGGGCAAAGGCACGGTGCAATCCGACCAGGGTAAGACTGGAATCTCGAACCGAGAAAGGGAGAGGAAACGAAGGTTACGGATAGCGGATGGCGGATGCATACAGCCTGAGCCTGGACGTACGGGCATGGAGCCTCTGTATGTACGGAGTAGAGGGATTCGTACAATGTATCAATCTGTAGGGATGTGCTGTGAGTGAGGTATCTATCTGTGTACCGAGATACAGATACCGTGATTGACGTGCTACATGGTACCCTGACTTTCGTGGAGAGAAGCTCGCAGTGACAGGGAGAGGCAGAGAGAGAGATTGGGAGACCTCGCAGTGAAGAAGCTGGCGAATGAAAGAGCGTGTGCATGTACAGAAAGGGAGTGAAAATAGGAAAAGCAACGAGGCTGGACAGGAAGGGCTGGGAGGGATGGGCTGCGATGGCACCGCGACCACGCAGTCAACGCTTCAACCA